AGGAGCAGGAAGGCTGATGTTTCGGGCCTAGACCCTTCATCAGAACCGAAACGTCAGCCTTCCTGCTCCTATGATGCTGCTTGGCCTGCTGTGTTCATCCAGCTCTACACCTTGTTATCTCAGATTTTCCAACATCTGCAGTTCCTACTATCTCTCGCACACCTGACAGGTTCTGTTAACATCGGACAGCACAGGGGACATTGGATGGCATTACGCTTACTGCCCATTGGATCACGTTTCAAGGGGTAAACATCCGTTCACCACTGACCGAAAATAAACAAAAAAATAAGTCGGATCTCTCGTGTATGAGATGTTCGACCATTAAAAAATATCGTCCCCCGGCAGTTTAAGGAAAGACGTTGCGAATGATAAACATTGTCTTACCCAGTGAAAAGTGCCGGTGATCGGATTTCAGCGCCCGGTGCTAGGAGCTCTGACAAATTCTGCATTGAGTAACATGATCGCTCCAGCGGTGCCAAGGCAAATAACTGGGCCTCAGCTCGCGCTCTGACTCCTCCGCCGGACGGAGGTGGGCTGACAGCTGTGCGCAGGCGCCGCTTCGAGCGGCCTAGCTCGAGCTCGGTTAGGGTAGGTGTTTGAAGCGGGAGCGGTTTAACTGACTAGGGCCACCTTAAGTCAGGGCATGATTGTGCCAGTAATTATGGTGCCACTCTAAATAAGTGGGTCGCTCTCCGGATAAAAACCGAAAGAACTGCGGATGCTGTAAATCAGGGACAAAAACAGAAGTTGCTGGAAAAGCTCAGCAGGTCTGGCAGCATCTGTAAAGAAAAAATCAGAGTTAACGTTTCGGGTACTCGTGTATCAAAGAAATGCAGACTGGCACATTACAACAAATATTGAGGGAGAGTAATCTGTTCTTTCTCTGCCCCGTGCATCGAAAAGCCGGTTGGCCAATATTTGATTTCAACCTGTATCAACAAAAACGTTTTTGTTTTATCTTCGATGACACTATGGTTTGTAGGATCTTGTGGGGCACAAATTGACTGCATTAAATGGCGACTAAGCGGGCATTTCGAAGATATTTCGTATTTTGAGATGTCCTGAAGTCGTAAAGTAGGTTGGTTTTGTAATTGGTTTATTGAACGATCTTCATGGTGGCAGGTGCCGAGTTGTTATGTCATAATTCATGACAACCATAGACAGTCATTAAAATAAAAAAGTGCACATCAGAGAGGTTTCAAACTTGTCATAATTTCAGCATACAAATAATTACAAAGTATTACAAAATGCGGTCTACTGCAGGTTGGTATTAAAGTTCATAGCATAAGTTGCCAAATGGAGTTCTCAATCACTTACGCATTATTTGAGTTCATTAAAGTAGTGAATCGGACTATCGCTGTAGAATTATTGCTTTTTTTTATTTCATCGCACATTTACTTTCGTGTGGTTGTGGCAAGGGACAGTGATAATGTGGGAAATTCAAAACTTTTCCAGCGACGTCTAGACGGCTTTTTTCACCTTTTTCAGCAAAGGCACACATAACGAGTTGTTCACGTCAGAGCAGCTTTGGTACGTTTTACTTAAGAGTATAAATTGTGTATAAAGGACGTGTGAACGTACGAGCGTGTTAAATAAGAAACTGAGCAGACCTAGCACCATTTGTGAAGAGAAACCAGTTAACATTTCGAGTCCAGTGACCCTCCAGAACTGATAGCTGCCCGAAAAAGTTGTGTTTCTGCTGATGATGGGGTTGGGATGTGTTGGAAGATGTGAGCGGATTGGTGGGCGGGGTAGGCAAACGAAGGGATAGATGATAATAGGTCTGTGAGTAGTCGTAGTCATACAGCACAGAAACAAACCCTGCCATCCAACCAGTCTTTGCCGAACATAATCCCGAACTAAACTGGTCCCACCTGCCTGATCCTAGCCCATATCCCTCCAAACCCTTCTTATTCACGTACCTATCCAAATATCTTCTAAATGTTGTAATTCTACTCGCATCCATCACTTCCTCAGGACGTTCATTCCACAGGTGAACCATTATCTGCATAAAAAATTTGACTGGTGAACTGTTTTAACATCAAAGTTTATTTCTCTGCATCCTCTAGACCTCATTTCTTTCTCCTTAGTAAAAACTGACACAAAATATTCATTTAGTATCTCCCATTTCATCAAGAAAAGGTGACCTTCTTGATCTTTAGGAGGTCCTGCCTTCCTTTTAGTCGACCTCTTGCTCTTAATGTATTTGTAGAATCTCTTTGGATTCCATAACCTTATTTGCCAATGCTATCTCATATCCCCTCTTTGCATTCCTGATTTCTTTCTTAAGAATGCACCCACCCTTTATGTTGATAAAGAGATTCAACTGAACCAACTTGTCTGTACCTAAAATAAGATTTTCTTTTATTCATGACTAGAACCTCAATATCTTTATTTATCCATCTTCCCTTAATCTTACAAGCCTTACCCTTCACTCTAACAGGATGGTAATGCCTCTGAACTCACATCATCACACTATTGAATGCCTCCCACTTGTCAAACGGCCTTTTACCTGCTTTTGACAGTTCTTGTCCGATACCATTAAAATTAGACTTACTCCAATTAAACACTTTTAACTTTTATGAAAGGCTTATCCTTTTCCATAACCATTTTGAAACTAATAAGAATTATGATCTCTGGACCCAAAGTGTCCCCCCACTTTTACTTCAATCACCTGCCCTGCCTTATTGCCCAAAAGAAGGTCGTTTTGCAGCTTCTCTAGTGGGAGCATCCAATATTGATGAAGGAAATTTTCTTGAACATATTGACAAGTTCTTCACCATCCAAACCTTTGATTTGGGGTACCGTAGTGTTAATGTTTGGAAAATTAAAATCCCCCATTATTACAACATTCTGCTTGCATATATCTGAAATCTCCATACATGTTTGTTTCTCAATTTCCCTCTTAGTATTGGGGACTTATAGTACAATCCCATCAGTGATATTTCCTTTCTTATTTCTAATTTCTACCCATATATTTTCACTGGACGATTTTTCAGAAATATCTTCTCTAATTACAGCAGTAATGTATTTTTTAATCAAAAATGCCACTGTACCCTCCTTTCTTGCCCCCTTTCCTATCCTTGGTCTAGCATCTAAAACCCGGAACATCGACCTGCCAGTCTTGTCCATCTCTCAGCCAAGTTTCTGTAACAGCTATGACATCCTAATCCTATGTTCTTAAACATGCCCGGAGTTTATCAGCCTCACCTGTAAGACCCCTTACATTGAAATAAATGCAATTTAGTGCATCAGAGTTACTACATACTCTGACTCTCAAGTCTTTCTTTTCGAATTGATATGCTGTCTTCATATTCAGGACCTTCCCCATCAATCCTTCTATTTACACTGCTACTTAGAATTCCTCCACTCTCCCTTTCTATCAGTATAATATCTTCCATAATGGAATGAGCAAATCTCCATGCTAAGCTACTGGTCCGTTTCCAGTTCAGGTTAGACCTATTCTTCTTGAACAGGTCTTTTCTATCCCAAAGACATTCCAATTGTCCAAAAACATGAATCTCTGAACAATACACCAGGTCTTCAGCCATTAATTTATCTCCTTTATCCTTTTCTTCCTTTTGTCATTTGTGTTTGGCATTGGGAGTAAACCAGAAATTACTACTATTAAGGTTCCATCTTTCAATGTTCTACCTAAGCTCTTAAATTCACTCTATACTGCTTTAATCTTTTCCCTAAAAATGTCTTTCCGACCAACACGTGCAATAATTTCTGGCTTCTTAGTCTCACCTTTAACAACATGCTTGAAATATTTACAGATGTCCTTTTAATCCTAGCACTAGGAAAGCAACAAACCAACCTAAATTTATGCTCACTGCCACAGAATCTCCCTTCTATGCCCTTGACAGGAGAGTCCCCTATAACAATAATTCTATTAAATTTTGTCAAACACTGCTTAACATAAGAATCATTCCAAGTGTCCAATAACTGACTGCCCCTTCCATTTTCCTCCGAGAGACTATCCCCTTCAACAGTTCCAAAAACTGAATATCTATTTGATAGGGGAATAACCACTAGAGACTTTTGAACTATCTTCTTACCTTTTCTGAGTCACTCATGTATCTGACTGATCCTGCTGTGTAATCACTTCTCGAAATCTACTAGCCATCTCACTCTGTACCTCATATATGCCCTTAATAATATTAAGCCTAAAGGAATTTTCAATAACACCTGATATATAAAATAAACTACCTTTCATTACCTACAGAAAATAATAATAAAATGGAAAAAAATTAAAATATCAAACCTATAAAACTTATAAAATCGACCACTTAGCTGATTAACTGAATAAAAACAAAAATGACTCCTGTTCAATAAATTCCTCAAAGAAAAGAAATCTTATGTAGGACTCCAAACTGAAAACACAACTCCTTATTTTAAAAAATAAGTGCTGTTTTGAAAACCAGAAATGTAAAAAAAACCCTTTAAAGCACATAGTCTTTTTCAACTTCTGAATTTAGAATTAAAAATCTCAGCTATTCACTACAGACCGTGAAAAGCTCATTTTTAAAAAATAAAGTACGTTTGAAAAAACAAATCGCGATTTTTCAAATGAACATTTTTCTAAAACGAGATTTTCAGGGTCACAATTTTTTTTCTTGTTTTTTAAAATGTTAATGAAACAAAATAAATAAAAATCTTGTGAAATATAACTAATAACTGTTGTTAAAATAAAAACTTTAATCAATCTTTAACTAAGCTTGCAATCCCAGGAGCAGCTGCAAGATCCACTGCCTCCCAGGTATTTAGTTGAAAATGGATTAGCGGTGCTGAAAGCAACCCACCTGGGCTGGTAGATAGGAATGGGCATGGAAGAAGGTATTCATGCGCTGAGGTTCTAGCAAAGATCTGTAACTCAGGTTGTGGGTGAGATTGTTGATTTGCTCGCCAAGTTGGCTGGTCATAGTTAAGATATTTCATCACATCAGTGGAGCCTCAGATGAAGCAATGTTGTTCTACCCTGTTCAAGTATTTATATGGTCCAGTCTGTTGAGGTGCTTTGTTTCATTTCTGGGTTTGTTTTTTGCAAAGGTTTGTATATGGAGGTCTAATTCCACATGTTTATTGATTGCATTATGGGTGGAGAACCAGGCCTCTAGGAATTCCCATGCGTGTCTATGTTTGGCTTGAGCTAGGATGCTCACGTTGTCTCAGTTAAATTGATGGCCTTCATTGTCAGAGTGAAGGAAAGTTTGTCGTGTCGTTTTGCTGCTAGCTGGTGTTCGTGTATCCTACTGGCTAACTTCCTTCCTGTCTGGCCAATGTAATGTTTTTGGCAGAGCTTGCATGGTATTTTGTACACACCATTGGTCCTGCATGTCATGGGTAATGGGGTATTTGGTCCTTGTAAGTGTTTGGCATAGTGTGGCTGTGGGTTTGTGTGGTATCCTGATTCCTAGTGATCATAGCATGGTGACAAAACATCTGAACTGTAACCAAATCAACAACCTCATTTATGCTCTAAAATCGTTAAGTTCCATGTTGGGTCATACACACTGTAAGATATGGTTATGCTGTCCAAGCAGAAGATGAGGTGCTGTTCATCCAGCTTGCCTTGAGCCTTGTTGAGCACTGCAGCAGGCCTGTGTCAGAAATACTGGCAATGGGAACATCGCAGTGTGATGAAGCTCTGGATCATTTTTACAAAGACTTTGAGAGACCACTTTGTGGAACAGCTGTCTATGCCCTAATGCAGAGGCGAGCATTGTGGGCACTGAATACAGTAGACGAAATTGAATGAAGTGCAGGTAAATCAATACTTCACCTTAAAGTTATGTTACGGACCTTGGTTAATAAGGAGGGAGGAGGTAAAGGGGCAATGGGAAGGTGCTGTGGGCCTAAAGTGAGGTCTTGGGAGTGGAAAAGGTCATGCTGGAGGAAACAATCCCTGTAGAATGCTGAGAAGGAAGTGGAGGGGAATGTACGTCTGATGGTGGCAGAAATGGCAGCTTATAATCTTGTGGATGTGGAGGTTGGCAAGGTGGAAAGTGAGGACCTCGTGACTCTTGTTGTAGGAAGGAAGAGAAGGGGTGAGGGCAGAAGTCCAGGAAATGTGTTGGACATGGTTAAGGGCCCTGTCAACCATGGTCGTGGGGAATTCTCAGTTGAGGAAGAAGACGGGCATTTGAGGATCTCCTGCAGTGTTAAATAAGGTTGGTGAGCTACAGTTGCCAGTAGGTGCATATCAATGTAAAATCCTGATAACAGAGACTAGCTAAAAGGGAAGGAACAGACTTAAATATTTCTGGACACAAGGGCCCAGGTTTTCTGATGGCCAGATAGTCATTATTTCAGCTTAGATTGGATTTGGTTATTGGACACATTGAAGATATTGCCCAAGAGATTGAATTTTCCCCTTATCAATTTCCCTACACTTAGAACCCTCAAAGTCACCATTTAAATCAGAGAATTTGGAAGGCTCTGATGAAATTGAGTAAAATAATTATTCAGGAAAATTTAGACCATTAAATACATAGTCTAAATCCTCAGTTACTATTCAACTGACCCCATACTTCCTTCACATACCCCAAGTACACCACCCCAGACCACTTACACTCCATACAGTCCTGCCCTGCTCTAGACAAGACGCCCTTCACTCATTCTACACAAGGCTCTCCCGACCCCTTCACCCCACAAAAGCTGACCTTCTCTATCTGCTGCAGAACTGCTCCAGTCTTTTCCCCCATTCAACCTGACCGACTTCTCCCACTCTGGACCTGATCCCTGCTTCAACTTCATTCCATTGTTGCCAAAACCTTTCCCCCAAACCTAGAAACTAGCCCTTCTCACCCACCGTACACCCTCTCCAGAGCAGAATCCATCCCCTTGCTCTGGCTCTAGACCCAACCCCCCTTTCCTGCTTTGGGCCTGATCCCCTATATTTGGTTTTGGCAACCTGATACCCTATTCACCCACTCAACCCACTATACTGTTCCCTCATCTGGAGCAGACACTCACTGTTAAACCACCCCACCCCACCATCACTCAACCCAGAGATGACTTGGCATCCTGCCCACCTGGCAACCTCATCTCCTACCCCCACCTCCAACCCACTTTTTAATCTACCCTAGTCATTTGGCACCTGTCCCTAACTGGCAACCTACCTAACTAGCACCCTAACCCTTACTGGCAATCTAACCTCACATTCACCTTATGTACTTATCATTTTACAGCAGCTATCAATGTTGCTGTATCTTTCTCTATAAATTCGAGAATATGGCAGCTGACTGCTGTGAAAGGGGAATGTAGGAAGCCTTTCACGGTAATTCTGCACTACACAAGAACTGTCAGATGTCCAAACAATTGGAGTTGTTTAAGATTTTGTTTAGGACTCGAATATATCGTTCTGAAAATTCATGTGGAATGAGTTGCTTTGTAGTCTAGAAACGGAGTCCTGCTGAAAAACAATCCTGTTGTTGGGAGCTTTTCAAATTGCACTCTCCAGGTCAGACAGAAGACCTTTCCCCCTCACCCAAGATTACAATCCAACCCTGTCTCATTACACAATTCTAAATATACAACAGCTTTCTATCTAGTTCATTCATATATTGTTCTAGAAGGCTGAGAGTTTATTTTAAATTTTGTCCACTATCTTTGCTAATTTAATTTGTACAGTTTGAAATTAAAATTAAAATAGACTATTAAAAATATACAAGGACTAGAAAAGGCAACTTATGTTAAAAGATTTGCACAGGCAATAATTTAAATGCTGTAATATATTGTAATTCTAAAACTTCTACTTAAGTGCTTAGGAATGTTTGTGAGATGGGAAGAAATCAAAAATGCTAATAGTTTTCTTTTGCGATCATTAATTGAACTAAATCAAGTAAAAATATTTATCAACAGCAGCTAACAACCAAGTTGTTATTTATTGATACGGAGGCCAGCAACAGTACATTTGGAATTGTCTTTATTGGTGAAATAAAAATCAAAGCAAATGACAATATTTTCCTCCAATTCATATCATTCCTGTCTCAAGTCTCAGAACAAAATTTTTGAGGAAAGAAAAAAATTGAAATAAAGTCATATTTCCTTTCATAGTGCTCAACTTTACGAAATGAGCATAATTCTGCAGTTTCGCTCTTAAATAGTTTTACCAGAGTTAAAGTACGTACGATTGAGGAAACATGCAACATAACTAGGAGTGAAGTATAAATGAAAATTGTTCAACTTAACATGCCACCGGTAGATATACACAGAATCAATTTTAGAACTTGTGGCTAGTGCATTGTCATCGAAGAGTTGGCAGTTCTTTTAAAATGTAGGCGGCCAGCTTTATACTAAAAAGATGTTACAAGTTAACATTTAATGAACATTTTTAATAGTGTCTTAACTGGGATTAACAGTAATTGGTTTTATGTCAGACAAGGAGTTCTATTCTAATACACGGTGAAGTCAGCGCTCAGTAATATCAGTACTTCCATTAAGAACAGGTTCTTCACTTTATCATGCATTACATAAATGGAGTACAAAAGGTGATTAACTGAAAATTTCAGTAAGTTTATATCAATTACAAACCAGTTAGGGTAAGACTGTACTTTCAAAACAACAAACATTACCGTGAATGTCACATAACTCAAATATGCCATTTCACCTGTTAAGATACAAAAGATAAATGAGCCAATCAAATTAGCTGAGAAAATAAAAATGGAAGAAAAACATTTAGTTGTAGATGGTTCATCCACCTTACAACTATTATAAAAGACTCTTCCACAAAAATTCTTGGAACAGGAACAACCATCACTTTAATGTTAATTTCCAGTTCATTTTCAAAATCTACATTTAAAACAAAGTGTAAAGTGAGTTGCTAATGCTAAATGCAGAGAAATTTGGTAACAAATTTTAAAATGAAGTTACTAGTTCCCATTATTTTCTGCTTCTGAAATTTTACCCGTCTAGACTTAGCAGACTGACGTAGATTTAAAAAAAAATCAAAATGTATGCAATTATGTAGGTCTGGTTGTCTCGACATGCATTAGAAGATAAACGTTCATACACAAAACTGGACAGTCAAATTTAATATTAAACAATGGCATACAAAATATTTTAACAAAACTTGAAAAGGATCCTTCTGATTTATTTTAGTACAGAGAGCACAAACTGTCAGTATACAACACATGGATAAACAGATTGCTGCAAACTCAATTTATTAATTCAATTTCTGAAAAGGTTAAGGCATTTCATAACGAACTACCACAATCGGTTTGCAGTTCTTTCCACCACAGAATGCATTACAAAGTTATGCAGGTTGGCTAAAAGAATTTGTGGCAGAAATAATTTTGTGGGGTATAACTTTCACCATCAGCAGTTAACTAGGTATTGTATTTAGCAGAAACATCTGGCTACCAATTTGTTATAGTTATTATCTTGGCTTCATGAAAGTGTTCTTTTTAAGGTGAGCAGCCATTTTAAAGTAGCTATTTGATGCTAATTTCCACTATGCTAATGTTGTTGAACACCTTACAACTAAAGACACACTACAAGTTTAAAAAAAAATCAACATAAAAGGTCCATTTTATTCTATGAAGCAGGAGTGGAAGCTAACCACAGCCTGCCACTCTTCACATGTCCTGAGCTCTTGGGTCAAAGAGTGGGGTTAGGACATTGTCTTCATTAGTTTCTTCTATTGGTGTGGTGGGCTGTGGTTTTGGTTTCTTGAAAAGGGTGGGCAAGTTTTTGATATGCACCTCTTTTTTGAACTTCTGCCCAAGTGGCTTCTGAAAAACACAAGAGAAAAGATCATTTGATTAAAGAATGGTTAAGAGTTAAATAAATTGAAGAATTTTGTGTGCAGAATTGTAATAAAAATATATATACACAACTGATTATTGATTTCATCACAAAGTACTATGTAAAGTCAGCAATGTGGATTACAATTACAGATAGTGGGGATAAATTAGCGCATCCCTCAAAAGGAATAAAGGGCTGTGCAGGGTTGAGGTACTATGAGGTTGGAAGCTTTGGAGGGAGTTCTCCAACAGAGAGGAGGTCAGTGACAGTCCTGGAAACAGAGTTCTGAAGAAGAGTCATATCTCACTCTGTCAACTGTTTCTCTCAAATGCTGCCAGACCAGCCGAGTTTCTTCAGCATTCTCTCTTTTTATTTCAGATTTCCACAATCTGCAGTATTTTGCTTTTCTGCAACAATCACCAAGGAGATTAGTATAAGGCAAGAGAGTTTGTAGCAAAAACCTATTATAATGATAGCCTTCATCTTCCCAATATTTAATTAAGAGGAAGACACGATTCATCTAACATTGAACACTGGATAAACTGTTTAGCAATTCAGACAGTCAAAGGAAGTGGGGTGGTAAAGCAACTGTAGTCAATGTAAAAGTCATTTTTGACAATGTTGTTTTGAATAATGTCAGTAAGGGGACATATACTTGAAGGACTCCAAAGGCAATGGTGTGGGAGCAAGAATAGGAGTCAAAGTAGATGATTCTGTAGCTATGACAAAATAGCGAAGAATGGAACCAGATCAGTGCTACTCCAATTCAGCTGGAGTGTGTGTGGCCAAGACGTAGACTAGTTGAGAAGGATGTGAAGTGATAATTTTATCTTTATAATCTATGACAATAGAAGCAGCTTCAGTAGGGTACAGCGAGTGTCAACTTGACTGGAGGAACATGGAGCTCTGGCGAAGATGAGTGCAAATTTGGGGTCAGTGACAGGTAGACAATGGGGTGTCAGTTTGAAAAGACGAGGCAGGGTATTAAAAGTTGTTCTTTTTGAGAGATGGATATCAGATTTGAATGAGAGGGGTATAGTACCTGAGGACAGAGCCACTTATATCATCGAGTAACACGAAAACAAGGAAGGGAGGTTGGGTACCCAGCAATGTAGTGGACCAATTTCACTCCATGTTAAACGTGCTTCGAGATTCTTCAGCCTAACAGTTTTCAATGCAACACATGCATGACAATTTTTAGTATTCCTCCGGGAACGTAAAAATAGCCCTTCTACGTAATTTAACCACCACTGCATAGAGTTAGAGTCTCATACAGCACGGAAACAGACCCTTTGGTCCAACCTGTCCATGCCAAACATAATACCAAACTAAACTAGTCCCACTTGACTGCTCCTGGTCCATGTCCCTCCAAACCTTTCCTATTCATGTACCTGTCCAAATGTCTTTTAAACATTGTAATTATACCCACATCCATCACTTCCTCAGGAAGGTCATTCCACAAACCAACCACCCTTTTTTAAAACAAAAATTGCCCCTCATGTCTTCTTTTAAAGTCTCTCCTTTCACATTAAACATATGCCCCGTAGTCTTGAAATCCCCCATTCTAGGGAAAAGGTAACTACTATCAACTCTATCTATACCCCTCATTATTTTATAAACTTCTATCAGGTCACCTCTCAACCTCCTATGCACCAGTGAAAAATCCCAGCCTATCCAGCCTTTCTTTATAACTCAAACGTTCCATACTCAGCAACATACTGATAAATTTCTTCTGAATCCTCCCAGTTTAATAACAACTTTCCTGGGAAGTGGCGGACCAGAACTGGACAGTATTCCAGAAGAGGCCTCACCAATGTCCGGTACAACCTCAACATGACTTCCCAACTCCTATACTCAAAGGACTGAGCCATGAAGGCGAGCGTGTCAAATGCCTTTTTAACCACCTTGTCAAATGTGACGCAAACATCAAAGAATTATGTACCTGCACCCTTAGGTTCCTCTGTTCTACAACACTACCCAAGGCTCTACCATTAATTGTATAAGCCCTACCGATCCCTGTAGAACACCGCTGGTGACAAGCCTCCAGTCCAAAAAGCAACCTGCCGCCACCACTCTGTCTCTTGCCGTTAAGCCAATTATGTATCTAATTGGCAAGCTCACCCTGAATTCCATGTGACCTAACTTTACTAATTAGTCTATCATGCAGAACCTTGTCAAAGGCTTTACTAAAGTCAGGTAAACAACATCTACTGCTCTGCCCTCAATCTTTTTTGTGACTTCCTCAAAATTTCTTCAAATGTTACAAATATTTGGAAGAAAACTTTTTGAAAACATCATACTCAATTTACCCCAATGCAACCAGACAATAGTTTTTTGAAGAGGTCCTTTCTTCTTTTGTCACCCATTTTATGAGATGATGGGTTCAGAAGTTTTGTATCAAACTGGTCCAAAGCATCTCCAGAGATTTGAGGAACTTGCTGCATGACTGTTTTTAAATCGGGATATCGTGGTCTCTACAAATGCAATTCAAAAAGAAAATACTTAACATCTATAATACATATAAATAAAGGAAATCAACATGGTACACCATTGCATCATTAGGATATCACAAAATATCAAACCTATTAGTCTCTCCACTCTGGTCATTTTACTTCCTTAATATACATGTCCCATGCAAAAAATATTTTAATCAACCTGCTCAGGGATGTTCTTACACACATCTGGAGCAGATGAGACTTCAACCTGGGCCTCTTGGCTTAAAAGCAGGAACAGTACCACTGTGCCACATTATTTAGCATTATACTAATGAAACGATTGACACTCGTGAATATTTCCACGCCAACAATTATTGCTGCTGTTGTCCTGAAGAAAGAAAGGCAAGTGGATGCAGGCTTAGCCTTTGAAAACATGGCTGTAACCATGGTCCAGTAAGAGATGCATGACTCAGGCTCTGGAGAAGAGGAGGAGGATAGGAAAATGTCAGTCACTGCCAAAGTCCAGCTGATCCACATTACAAGGCACAGCCTTGGTTTGGTGGTAAAGTTCCCACCCAAGTTAAAAGGTCACGCCTTCAAGCTCTTACAAGGCTACAGCACAGTTTAGTGTCTTACTAAGGAACTGCTGAACTCTGAGAAGTGCCTTCTCTCAGAAGAGATGCTGAATAGACAAATCTATTTTGGCATGTGATTATTAAAGACCCCTTCCATTGTTCAAAGAGGAACAAGGGAGTTTTAATGTCCCGATCTGAAGTAAACCCTCAAATCAACACCAGATATAGACCATTCTCTCACTTTCCACAACAAACACATTTCAAAAAGACTAATGAATTTGGCTGTAAAGCATTTGGAATATCATGAGGATATGAAAGAGACTACACAAATGTATTTCATAGTCTAAATGTGACGTGTAACTTGCATTGTGCATTTAACATGCAAAATAATTTAATTTAGTTGTATAAATTAGAAATAAATAAAGATAGAGTCAAAGTAAGAAAAAAGTAAACAGGTGACCAAAAGCTTAACCGAAAAGGCGGTGTTAAGGAGGATCTGAAAAGGGAGAAATAGAGGAGCATAAACAAGGAATTTCAGTCTGCAGAATGGCCAAACAAGCCAACTGCTAAAGCAATTTTGTTTGCATGTGTGGGAAGAGAGGGAAGCATTACACAAAGAGTTGGGGAAAGATTGCAAGGGAATTTAATGACTTTTCTGTGCGCATGTGTCTGGGGCAAGAGAGTTTTTTTTAATTGTCAGTAAATCGGAAAACAAAGTGGAGGCCATGTTGGGGCCCACACAAGGAATCTGCAAAGTGATCAAGGTTGGTTGAGTGAATGGGCAAAAGCTTAGCAGTTGGAGTTTAAATGTAGGAAAGTGGGGGATAATATACTCTGGTAGAAAGACTCAAAAGGCAGACTTTATTTAAATGGAGAAAAAGACTCCAATATTGTGCAACAGAGGGGAATGTGAATGCTTTTGCGCATGAAACACAAAAGATTAGCATGTAGGTGCAGCAAGCAATTAAAGCAGCAAACAGAATTATGCCAAAGCAACACAAGCAGTACTTGCTAGGGGTTTAAGAGTTTAAAAAAAAAACAGGGAAACCTTGTTACGACTGTACAGGGTGTGGGGAGGCTGCACCTGGAACACTGCGTATAATTTTGGTCCCGATTTTAAAGAAGGATGTACTGACATTGGATATTATTCAAAAAAAATTCACTGAGGCTGATTCCTAGGATGAAGACCTTTTCAAGAACAGTTAAACAAGTTAGGGCTTTATTAATTAAAGTTCAGAAGTATAAAGTACAATCTTTTTGAAAGATAAAAAGATTCTAAGGATGGCTTGATAGGATCGATGTTGAGATAATGTTTTCACCAGTGGAGGAATCTCAAGCTAGGTACCTAGTTACAGAATAAAGGATGTCATTTAATATTGAGGTGCACAGAAATTTCTTCTCCAGTGGGTAGTAATTGTCTGGAATAGTCTACCACAAAGAACTATGGAAGCCAAATGACTAAACATAATTAAAAGAAGAGGCAGATAGATTATTGAAATATCAGGGACTTGATAGCTATGCTGAGCTGGTACAAAAAAAGGATCAGAAGCTTAGGTCACTTCAGCTATATGTTGAATGGTGAGGCAAGCTTGACGAGCCAAATGATCAGCTCCTGCTCCAATTTCTTAAGCTCTTATGTACATTATATACAATCATAGAATCCCTACAGTGCAGAAAGAGGGCACTGGGACCATCAGGCCTGCACTGACCCTCCGAAGAGCATCCCACGCACTCTATCCCCTTAACCCCACATTTACCATGGCTAACCCATCTAGCTTAAACATCCCTGGACCCTATGGGGCAATTTAGCATGGCTAATCCACCCTAAACTGCACATAGTTAGACTGTGGCAGGAAACCCACATAAACATGTCCGCAAAGATAATCACCCAAGGCTGGAATAGACCCTAGGTCCCTGGCGCTATGAGGCAGCAGTCCTCCTCTTAATGAATAGACGATGCAAACAGAGAGCCTTTGAATCATCATTTTTACAACACACTTCTCAATTCAGAGACTTTACTTACCAGTGCCTCATAGATCATGAAAGCAAGATTGACCAGTGCTGCAAGGCATCCTTCATGTTGTCCATGCATTTGCAGTCCTCTAAGCACGCTCATAAAGAACCAACTGGCTGCATCAGAATGCAGGGTTGCAGACAATACCTGAATATAAGGAATAATTAATTAATTTTGACCCAAATGTTAATGAAAATTAAGCAAGAACTAATAGTGGCTGGCTAAAAGATAGAATCATCAGGACAAAAACTGATGTGTAAGTGTGATGATCAACCCAAAATTTCATTTAACGTGTAAGATGTTCAATGCTCAATTTCCCAAAAACAAAACTGCTGAAAAAAATTGTTCAACAGTAAGAGGAATAGTTTTAGTTATGTCTGACAATTCCTTTAAATATTTAGTTCAATAAAGACTTAATCAAACATTTCATTGAATGAAACAGCTCTTTAAATTAGGTACTTTTTTTTTGGGATAGACAATATTTAAATAGAAGGTTTCCAGACACTGGACATGGAAGATTTTTCTGATATATATGGCAGCCCTTTGTTAAATATATTGAGGGTTAACTGAGTATGTTGCACACAGACAAAAATCTTTTGTTTGCTAATGATGGCAACCATAAAATTAAATAAAAGGACAGTGGTGTCATTAGGAAATGCATATAGCTCTTGTAGAAAATACCCTGTAATACATAGGGATAATGTCTGCAACACTACAAAGCTCACTCTATTGCTAGACCCACAAAACAAGATACAAGATATTTAAATAATTTTTCAAACACAATATACCGAGGTTTTTGTAAAAGATAGCAAAACAGTGCACAAAAGCAGGCATGCCTAGCATACAGCAAAACATAAGGACGAATAGTAAATAGATCTAAACGAGATAGCAATCACAGGAAAGCCTATTTAAACCAACTTGACTTGAAACTGTAAATACTTTCCCTGATTTTGCTGATTAAAAAAAAACTAATCAAACTCAGCCCCGTCACCTAGACTGGAAAGTCTCAAGTACAAACTCTGGTACATACTAAATTGTTGTCCGATTAAATAACCGTATCACAAGTAGCCCACAAGTGATGAAAACAGGGAAACAGCCTCAATCTCACTAATAATCATTATCCAATGATCCCCAAACCTCAGGTTGCTGTAATGCCCTCGATAGTAAAATAATCATCTAACTCATGTAAATATTCTTTTGGACACATTATGAACTTGCTCAATTCAAAATTTTCTGATTACACACTAAGTGTTGAACAGAACAGTTTTTAGTGTTCTCTTGCCTCCTGCGCTGCGCAAATTCTGTGCGTCTTTAATACACTGTTGTAACCAATGAAATTCAGATTCTCACAAAAATATTCACAATCATTCTTGGTCCACTTCTATACTTGCCTGTTTGATCAATGGCCAGCAAAGTTGGAGTGTTGCTCGCTGACACGTAATGGTGTCACTCCAAGTGATTGCACTGTAGGCAGTTGCTAACAGTGCCTTACAGATATCCTAGAAGGAACAAAGGAGATCTGTCAAAGCTATTAACATTCCACTTTAGAGTTGGTTTCTGATCTGCACCCAAACAAATCCAGAAGTGAAAATATCACGAGTATATACTGAAACAGATATTCAAATCAAGGCTTGTACCTAACACTCCTCCCCTTTAAAAAGCTATCAACCAAAAAATTTTTATCCAGTATTAAAGAAAATCAAACTGTTTACCTCAGACTTAAGCAGACATTTTCCAAGGTCAGTGAGTTCTTCAGATCCAACATGTGGCCCATCACTTGTGTTCATCATTTCATCATCTACTTAAGAAGACACATATGATAAAAATCAACTTTCACAGTGAATGAAATACTGTTGGAAACACACAAACTGTGCATCACTTAGAAAGTTCAAATGGAATCTATGAGTCTAAGTGCGTGAGAAAGTAGTAGATTGTATTAAGCTTGATACAAACTGTAAAGCTTTGAATTTTTCACAACTTATAGGGAGATGTTGACATCATATTAATGGCACTTGATTAGTAATCCAAAGGCCCAGGTTGATGACCTGGGACAGGGATTCAAACAACACCACAGCAGCTAGTGGAATTTAAATTCAATTAACAAAACAAAAATCTGGAATCGAAAATCAGCCTCAGTAATAGTCACCATGAAAATATCAGATTGTCATAAAAGTCCATCTGGTTCACTAATGTCCTTTCCAGAAAGAAATGTGCCATCATAAATTGGTTTGCCTTTCATGTACAACAATATAGTTAACTCTGCTCTCTGAAATGGCTTATCAAACCACTCAATCCAAGGGCAATTGGGCCTGGGTAACAAATCCTGGCCTTGCCTGTAATGCCAACATTTCATGATAGAATAAAATACGCTGCTAACCTGTTTACAGTCAGAAAGACAGTGACAGCAGCAACCAGGAATTTTTTTCTTCTGAATATACTGAAATTATTCAAGAGCGTGCATTCAACTCAGTACTTAGCTAAGGTCAGGGGTAGACCAATGTTGCATGGATTAGCAAAGACCAAATCTTTGGCTTCCTCTGGCTATTGAAATGTGTTAAGGTTTTTACAGCCTCTACTCCCAAACAAGAAATGGGTCGTGAAGAAACCATAAGATTTAGAAGCACAAGTAGGCCAATAGGCCCATTTAGTCCTCTACCCTATTCAGTGAGATCATGGCTGATCTGATAATCTTCAACTCCTCTTTCATTATCCCGATAACCCTTCATTCCCTTACTGATTAAAAATGGATCTACCTGCTTTGAATACACTTAATTAACCAGCCTCGACAGCCTTCTGCAATAATGAATTCCACAGATGCACTACCCACAGAGAAGAAATTCCTCCACATCTCCCTTCTAAAAGGATGACCCCTTATTCTGAGATTATGCCTCTTGTCCTAGACTCGCCCACAAGGTAGGAACAATTTTTGCACATCAACCCTGTCAAGACCCCTATTAATCTGGTCTGTTTCTATAAAGGTCTTCTCTCACTCTTCAAAGCTTCAGTGAGTACAACGTCAATTAATATCAACCTTTCCTCAGAAGAAAATTTCTGCATAACTGGGATCAGCCCAACAAACTTTTTTTGGACAGCCTCCAGTGCCAGTATATCTTAGATAAAGGGACCAAAAGTATTCACAATATTCCAGCTATGATCTGATTAGTCCCTTGTATAGCTTTAGCAAGACTTCCCAAATTTCATATTCTATTTATTTGAAATGGATTCAAAGTTAGCATACGGAAAAAGTCTTTCAGAAGAAAGGGCAATAGTCACTACCAAATTATTGACATTTAAAGCAAGCAATTGCTTGTATAAGCTATACAGTGAAAATCATTAACTAGATGCATTAATCATCAACTTCATATTCGTAGGTTGGAGTTGTAAAAGAAAAGAATAAGCTCTTTATTTTGCTACACACAGTTACATTTTTTCAACAGTTCATACCTCATTGTAGTGTACTGGATCCCCATCCAAGTGATTCATAGATGATAAAGTTTGAGAACCACTGGTTTACAATAAAGGTAGCTGCACAGCATACAGTCTCGTTTAGTTTCTTCAGTAACAGAAAATTGTGACTGCATACAATAGGATATTCACTTTCATATGAACATGCCTACTATAAATGTTGATTATATCTACCGATTTCAAGGACAGCTAATCTGCAAAGCAATTTACTAACTTACTTCATAAGTTACATCCAGCAGGGTGAAACTGGATTTAGTTTCTTAACTCAAAGAACTTGCCTTATTAACATATCAGTTTATTGGTATATCTAGAGGCAATGAGCTCAAAAAGTATAGCTAACCATACAAAAAGACATTCGAGCTGCTCCCACACTGTTTATATTTTTAAAGATCCTGTTCCAGCTTTGTAGTATGTAGTAGCAGAGAATCAAATCAGATAATTTGACTTATGTTCAACTTACTGTATATTTAAGTTCAAGAATATTTGTGAAATATTTTATACCTCTTCCAGCTGCAGAGTTGCAAAATGTTCAAAACGTTAACATTTAAAGTTTTCTTGTTTTCTCTGCTCTTTCCATGAGATTTGTATTAAAATACATAGAGACGAAGGCATGATATACTTCCTCCACACATATACAGCATACTGACTCTTGGATGTGGGAATATTTTATTCCAGTCGGCCACTGGTTTTAAACACACACACACACACACACACACACACACACACACACACACAGAAAATGTTCTTTTCTTTCAACTTGAAACACTTAAGATCAAATACTACATGAGTAAAGTCTGAAAAACAGCCCATTTCCTTACCATCCATGTCACCTGATATGGACTCAGGGCCCTTCTTAACACAACAGCAAACAGCTGCAAAACAGAAACTGACTGTAAATATTCAGAATCAGCCATGTCAATGCATTTAATACTTGAAAGCTACCATGGATGCTGATGGATGGGAAGTATTGTGAGGGCCACAATGCTCAGCTGAACAATTGTATAAAACAGTAAAGATGGACCAGCTGCTCGGTTTCCTGTGTACAAATTTTCTGTATGCCTAAATGAGATGCAGACAAATAGTGAAAAACAACATGAATAAAAAGGAAGGGGTAGTGGAGAAGAGAAAAAGCAGGGAAAAGAGGAAAAAGCAGGAAAAAGAGAATCGAAGACAAAGAACTCAGTCTGGCCCAAGAATCAAGATTTGTGTTGTTTCACTTGACATATTTTAATATGGAAGATAGAAAATGGCCATTAATTGCTTATTAACAGTTTACGTACTACGACTTAAGCATGAAATTTGGTTCACATTTTCAAAGTAACTTTTGGCCATACTAAAACAGGGGTTGGATTATTTTATAAAGCCAAAAATGTTCAGGATTTCTGAATTTACTTCAGTTGTTCAGCACCCAAAGTCAATAGTTGCAGCTCCCCTATCTGGCTGAGTCCTGGAGAATACATAATACAATTGCACACTTCTGCAACAAAAGCATTTTAAAAAAAATTCCAGCTTTAAATCATTGAAGGAAATTTCAAATTGGTAATACACATCAGATTTTACTCCAGATTAGCTGGTCTAGATTTTTGTCCAGACAGTTTTTTTTAATTAAAACAATTTACAGTTTATACAATAAATTATTAGCTGAATGGGTAGTATACTCCATACTCATTAGATCAATGGATTCGCGCGTGAGAAGTCGGGTCAGTTGCTCATCCAGCATTTCTTGGGATTCAGGATTCTCCTCAGGAGCACCACTTTCAGCCCTAAAAATAAACATAACATTATAATCCTCACAACAAGATCAGGTTTGCAATTTATATCACGTCAAGGCAATGTATAACTTACTCTAAAAAAAACACAAAAACTGCAGATACTGTAAAATCAGAAAAAATAAAATCATAGCTGGAAAAACTCAGCAGGTCTGGCACCACCTGTGGAGAGAAAAGCATGGTTAACACTTCAGGTCCCTTTATGACAAAGGGTCACTGGATGCGAAATGTTAACTCTGCTTTCTCCTCACAGATGCTGCCAGGCCAGCAATTTCCGACGTTGTTTATGATTTACTCTAACTGCATTCATCTTTGTGAATCAGCCCATCAATTAAACACACTCAATTTAAAAGTGATGTGAAAAATAAGTTCTGTAACGTCTTTTTACCATCCTTAATTTAGCAGGCAACTAAAATATAAAAATACTAAGGTCACAATTCAAAGAAGGAAGCATTCGCTTATATGAAAAGTGACTTACATGAATTCAAGTTGTCAAAAAGTGTTCATAAACAAAGTATATAATTAAACAAGGGTAATGACAATTTGTGCACATCATAAATGTCAATGAGAGAAAGGGTCTTGGTGACAGGCAAAAACCAAATGTTGGCCAGGACAACAGAAAAAAAAAAATCTCATGCTCTTCTCTGAATAAATGTCATGGGAGAGCGATGGCCTCGTGGCATTATCGCTGGTCTGTTAATCCAGAGAGCCAGGAAATGTCCTGGGGACCTGGGTTCATAGCAGATGATGGAATTTGAATTTAATTAAATCTCTAGAATTAAAAAAGTCTAATCATGAAAGCACTATTAATTCCCAGATGAAAACCTATCTGGTTCACTAATGTCCTTTATGTAAGGAAATCTGCCATCCTTACCTTGGTTACCTGGTCTGGCCTACACGTGACTTTAGACCCACAGCAGTGTGGTTTACTCTTAACTGCCCTCAGGGCAGTTACGGATGGGCAATAAATGCTGCCCACATCCCATGAAAAAATAAAGAAAAAAGATAAGTTGTTGCGTTTGAAACTCTGTCTAAAAGACATCACAAAGGACAATGAACATTCCTCAATGATACATTGAAGAATCAACCTAGATTACTCGTCTAAACCTCCAGAGTGTGTTTTGATGCCCAAAATCCTCTATTCATAGATGTGATACCACTGAGGAAAGTTGCACAAGAAAATGCAGAAACCTAAGGACAGAAGGTAGACTATCATAAATTACTTTAGCAGCCAAGCAATGGAGGTTTGCAAGCAGGATTTGGCATCTTTAAGGTGATCATAATTCTAAAAATGGAAAACAAAATTGTTTTAATTTGCAATTTTGTTAAAACAAATGAAATAATCACTGGTTCCAACATGTGTAACTCTGCATTTGCAAAGTCAAGTATAATCTCTACTCAACAGAAATCAAAATTATTCCATTCAAATAAAAACATTTGTTTCATATTTAAGCAATCTTCAAGACAATAAGGAGGCCCAAAATCCAAAATTATGATCATAAAGTTTGACACTTACTCCAGCAGGCCCCTCTGATTGATGACAACCCACTTGGCACTTAGTCTCTGGCAGACAAACAATAAGGTTACATGTTATATTGACAGGTGGGAAAGTTCTAAAATTTGAATTCTAAGCATGCTATTTCTTAATAAACCAGTTTAAAAAACTCAATGTATCTGGGGCATTTTTAAACACCAACATTTCAAAATGTTTGTAAAGATTTCAAGTTTTGATTAATCAAAACTACATTTATTTCAGCCATATCTCGACTATTAGACTAGCTGTCTGAAAGTAAAGCTTTAATTTACGAGACAAATACATTTCTCTGCTCCTTTCAGCTTCACAGCATTTTTCTACAGCTCACTAATTGCAATGAATATTAAATACTGTAATCTGAAAGAACAGAAAATGTTGGATCACAGTACTTCAATCAGAATCTGCAGAGAAAAGGCAGTTAACAGTCCAGATGCTTAGGTGACTTAGTACTAGTATTACACAGTATTTTCTCTCTCCTTCATTCCATGGAGAATTTAGATTGCTCAAGTATTGCTAGCTTTTTGGGATGAACTGTAAAAGTTTAGTTCACTTGACTGACTGCTCTTGCCAGAATATTCCAAAATACGACATCCTAGCTTTGACTTAAACAAAGATTATAGAAAATGCATAAAACCTATTTTTCTACTTTACATTGCTATTCTCTAATTTGCTATCAGAATAGAAATCCACAAAATATTTAAAATGTTTGCAATACTAAGAATCCAACCAATCAACAAATAACCTCCGAAATTTGGGGAATTTGTAAAGCAATTTAATTAATTAAAACAAAAATCCATCATAATTTTTTAAGACATACCTGCAGCAAGTAAGAGAACAAAGGTCCAAGAATTGGGCACAACACAGATTCATAATGTTCGGGTGGGCAGGACTGGACTAATGGTTTCACAAATACACGTACATACAAGTTAAGTAAATGTCTTCCATTTTCTTCAAGTAATGCATAGAAAAAAGACAAATCAACAAAGACTGCATATTACTCAGTGTTCTTCCCTCCAGGTTACCAGGTATGTATCCACGATAAGTGTACAAGAGGTCTTGCTGGGGAAACGTAGCTGCAAAACTTGCATCACAACTCAATAGTACACCATGCTCAGTGTTGTACCAAACCATGATTTTTCATTCTCAGTAGTACAGCAAATTTGTGGTTATCAGTCGATATCACAACATGCCTGGCCAACCAGGATGGTAACTAAATGTAGCAGAGATTTTCACTTTTTTTGTGACAAGGCAAAAATGTTTGAGCAAAATGTTACATTTATACTTATCGAAGCCAAAGGTAATTTGTTATTTGCTTCCAACTCCATATTTTTCATTTCCCATTGATTAACATTTTGAACAAATTAACCAACAAGAACTCCAATATTTTCTCCCCTCTACTCCCAAATTAATTTTTAGCATTTTACAGATTCAAGCCACAATCCAAATGTAGAAGTAGGATCAATCACAGATTTGAACTCAGTCTAAGTGCAATTCAAGTTTACAAAACACTGTACTGCTTTATGACTTTAGAAAACTATCACAAATCAAAAGGATATGTAGCACTGGACGGAGCCTGTAGTCAGGAATATTCTCCAGATTCACAAAAGCTGAGTTTATTACGGATTCTGCAAAATTGGTTATGTCAAAAAAATCCTGAAGCATACTTGGTCCAGCATTCCCAAGGATATGAAAACTGTTCAAAAAAATAAAGTTAAAGCAATGTTTCAAATTCCAAAATGTAATTTAAAGCACTAAATGGTTACAGAAAAGAAAGGTTATATTTGCAAATAGTTTAAGCTTGTACACACAAATGGGTGCAGTATCGAGCTATAAAGATGGAAAAGACCACAGTTAAAACTCATGTCAAGTCTGCAACAGAAATGTTACAGTTTGCTGTTGGTCAAAGACATGAATTAAGAAAATAAGTCTAGCAAGATTACTACATCTTGACCTATGTTGCCCTCTACTGCTGAATAAGCTAGCAACGTTCTATTGCCTCCTGTATACTTGCAGCAAAGCACACAGAGGTTTTGGCATAGGCAGAAGTATACCTTGACACAAACCACCATCACTAAGGAGAGAATAAAGAATTTAATTATTGGTAGAAAAATTAACAGGTTTATTTACGACCAAAGCTTGCTTTGCATTGTGTACAGTATTTTAACTGCAGCATGTGTATATAAAAGCACAAGTAGATCACAGATATGCAGGTTTACGACTTGGCATTATGTGATCACATCAGAGCAGAATCATCAATTTATTGGTGTCTCCCGCTCAACCGCATACACAATCCCCCACTTTAACTTTCAGAACATGTTTCTGAATGACTGACTGTGTGGAGTTTGTACATTCTCCCTGTGTCTGTGTGGGTTTCCTCCCACAGTCCAAAGATGTGCAGGTTAGGTGGATTGGCCATGAGGAATGCAGAATGAAAGGAGTGGGTTGGGGTGGGATGCTCTTCAGAGAGGCAGTGTGGACTCGTTGGGCCAAATGATCTGCTTCCACACTGGGGATTCTTTGAGTCTATGTTGCTCATTAAATATTTATGAAAGTAGTGACAAAATAACCTCCTACCAATTGTCATACAAAGTACAGAAGAACCCTTGCATTCGTTCCAACACAGATTTGTACACTGGAGCATCAGCATGATCGAGCAAAGGCTGTGGAATACCTGCATGGAAGGTAACAAGAAACCACTTTTGTGGCATTAAAGTTACAAATGCCTCTAAAAAGCTTATGAAAAATTACAAATTAGAAAATTATACAAAACCTAGCACAAAGATCAGGAGTATTACATTTTCTTTTAAACTTTAAACTAGTAAAATCAACCCAGAATAATAATTAGAAATACAATGAAGTGAATAGCACTGAATCAAACTTTATTTTTTATAGTTTTATATTCTTTGTAAATATCAGTCAATGATTTTGTCAGGTGGAGTTAGGGTCTGGAAGACATGCAATTTATCTGAGGAAAAAAACATAGTTGCTGTTAAAATAGGGGAAAATAACAGTAGCGTAATGGTAATGGCAATGTCACTGGACTAGTAATGCAAAACCCCAAGGTTATGTTCTGAAGACATGAGTTTGAATCCTGCCAGAGTGGAATCTGAATTCAATTAAAAAAAAGGAATAGAAAACAGTCCAATGGTGACAATGTAGCCATTGTCGATTGGCATAAGAACACATCTGACTTATCAATGTCAGGATATCTCCATCCTTACCTGCTCTAGTCTATATATGACTCCAGATCCACAGTAATGTGGTAGACTTTTAACAGCCCCCTGGGCAATTAGGAATGGGCAACAAATGATGGCCCAGTCACTAAGATCCACAACCCACGACGGAATAAAAAAAAAATTTTTATACTAATATAGTAACAGTCGGTCAAAACCACTAAGTCTGGAAACTTCAAATTATTAGTACTGCCAGATTCTCCTAGTTTAAAACAGTTATGAAGTAAGATTTCAGTTTTGCTTTTACTAAAGCATTTATGATATAAACAAAAGGAGTATTTAATGACACAAGTCTTGAGGCAACTTGATGTGCAAATTAGCAACTAATACCAAGAAAAAAAATCTATGCAACTGTCAAATATTTGAATTGCTTCAGTTTAAATGAGAATGACATTGGGAAGACCTACAAGACTCCATGGTAGATGCTTAAAATTAACTAATCTTACACCAGGTAGTATAACAGTAAGTAGCCAAAGTTTGTATAATAAGCATATTTTAAAATTTACTACATACAGGCTAATTGTACCCTTGCATTGAGAGATTAACATTCAAAAAGAAACTAAGAATATAGAACTTTTTTTTTTTTTACCAAGAATCGCATTCTTTTCCACTTCAAGCATGTCATGGGCTTTTGTAAAGTGTGGGCTGAGCTGTGCCAACATCTCTGGCAGCCAAAGGTTATTATGTGTCCTACAAAAAAGAAAACATTACAGTACTGATAAGTTACAGCTTACTTTAATTTTTCTAATCCCTTGAGGGTTTTACACCATCATATAGGGATGTGCAGTTCTAATACTGGGAATAAAAGAAAAGACAACTATTTAAAGAAAAAAAAAACCAAAAATTAAAAATCAGTATGTGCAGGTGGAATTTTAAGGGATATATGCTGAAATAATTAATTCCCAGAACTCTGATCACTTTGATCTTGGAGTTCCTCCTCTACACCAAGCATCTGTTAAAGACAAATGGTGGGAAACCAATTCAAAGGTAACAGTTGGGAGAAGCCCTTCAAGGCCTCCACTTAAAACAATTTTTGGAACATGTCTGCAAATCTAATGGAAATCTATTACATAAAGGTCCAGAAATCAAGGCAACAAATCTCTGCTGCTCAAGAGGCTGTAATTGCATGGAACATATCCTGTTATCAGAAATTGTATTATTCTGATTAATCACAGTTCATGTCAAATATTTGATACCAAAGTTGCAACTAAGGCAAAGAAGAAAAAAACAAAATTACGAAAACCAGAAAATATGTTGAATACATACAAATTAGTCAGCATGAGCCCTGACGTTTTCCACCCAAATTACTGGCGCTTTTATATACAGTTAACTTGTAACTGCAATTGGAAGAATACTTTCCCTTAAAAAGCAAAATCCTAAAACCAATTTACAGACAGACAGTCATTTAACTTTATTTTATTTTAAACAGTTTCAACAGTTTCTCCAATTCTGTTGAATAAACCATGTCACAGAATTCTGAATTTGCTCAAATTTAATTTTTACTGCTAGCATAGAGAGATTTTTACTTGATCCCCATCAAGTAAAGTTACTGTCCTTTTACAATGTCCTAAAATATCACGCAAAGCACAAAAACTCTTGCTGAGAGAACATAGTCATCCTATTTTCCCATTCTAATTGATAGATTTCAGAGCCTTAAACTAGGATCCCAAGAATAAGGATGTGTTGAATGGTGGAAAAAGTCAGTCACTGCCACAAGTCACGCATGATTAGCATGGCAAAGGGGAACATTTGGAAGGACTCATCCTCATAAAAACGGACGATCATCCAATTTGATAATCAGTCCCAAGTTTTTGTCCACCCATTTTAATATTTCCAAATTCACTAAAGATTGAATCATCCTTTCCCATCAACAGAAATTTGTTTGGATTCTTCCATGCTTGGGTGCTTCAGTGATTTAATACACTAAGCATCAATTACAGACAACATTTCTGGAGAAGTCAAGGCCTGTGTTCACTTTAGATTTTTTTTTTGATAGACCAGTATGATGCATCCTGTTGAGGGAAAATCTTGGGTCTTGGATGAAGAACCGTTTAACTTTATCACTTCCACATTAATTAAGAATGTCTTCCATTGAAAATTCTCTCAATTAACCTTTGTTGCCTTTCATTTAAATATATTCTAACCCGTAAATGCAGCAATGATATTCCTGGACAACATTCTAGTAGCACAACAGCAATTAGTTTTCAAACATATACACAAGAATTGACAAATGAAAAGAATACATAAAAAAAATTTTAAAAAGTGAGAAAAAAGGAAGGATGGTTGGATGCAAAACAGTCAACCACAAAAACTGTTAGAATTCTGGAACCATATCACTTACCTGCAAACTCAAAATCAAAATTTGTACATTTATTGCAATAGATTCCAGGTATTCAAATTTACTTCACGTTGTATGTTAATTAAACAGAGGATGCTTCAAAATAGTTTGAAGTGTTTACAGACAAGGACAAACTTCAGAATACACTTCCAGAAACTGAACAGTCTCACATACATGGTTAAAATATCTCACCAAAACAATTTGCTATTTTAACTTACACATACATGTTGTATTGCACTACTTCTACCATTCAGACTCAAGCTAAACTATTGACCCAAGGAAACACTTAAAAAAATGCCAAATATCTTTTAGTTTTCAATTTACTTCCTAGCATTTAAACATTAACCATACACCGTAAAATCAGGATTATTCAAGAAATATGTCAACAATTTCAATTTCAGAACGATTATGCAAATTTATTTTCAGCATGCAGCCAATACGCTCCCAAAAATACCAGAGAAATTACATAAAACAACTACACCTGAAGTTTCACAATGATCCTGAGTAAATGAAATTCCAAACACATCTATTCTTCCAATTCTAAAGCATGTCAATAAAACAACTGACAGTCACACTACATTCTCAAATTCAAGACACCGAAGCTGAAACAATGAAAGACATGCTTCTGAAAACTAAAAATTGGCAGAATTCACACATCACAAACCGTGAGATATGCCATGAAAAGCCAAACTAATATTTAAATATAATATGAGTATAAAGGAGGAAAAGAACTTGCATTTACAGAACTGTGCACGACTTCAGGAATACCAGAGCACTTTACAAACAATGACGTAGTTTTGAAGCTTGAAGTGTGGTCATTATTGTAGAAAACACGAATCCAAATTTGCACAGAGCAAGCTCCAGTAAACTGCAATGTGATCATTTTTAAGCTGAGGGGCAAATATTGGTCTACCAGTCTCCTGTTCTTCAAAATATTGCCATGGATCACTTACTCCCACTTGAGGAAAACAGGGCCTCAATTTAACAATTTTTCGGATGAGATGTTAAACACAAAGAAGCACAACAAATCACATTGGAAAATGAATATATGAGTGAAGTACGACTTATAATGGCTAATTTTCTGAAAAAATATCTTAACTGAGCCAAGTTAAATTGCCTGAACCTAATTTACCAAGGTCAGACTTAATGTAGATAGTTGTTCTAAAAAGGTAATTTAGCAAGTTACGAATGGATTGCATTCTTGCTTTTGATATTTACTAATTTCCATAATACAGAGTATTCTACTAAAAACACTTGTTTGGAACCTTCAGCAGAGAAACTAATCAGTTGGGTCAAATGGTCTTTGTTGCCATTTATCTCCCAGATCCTTGTTCCAATCCTCTTCATGTAACCCGACAAAAAATATCCTATTACTTTCTCCTTTATGTGTTTTCTAGCTTCCCTTGAAAAAGACACGTATGCAATTCATCTCAACAACTACTCCTTGTGATAATGAGTTTTAGATTCTTACCACACTTTACATAAATAGGTTCTTCCTGAATTGCCTTGGTTGATTTAGCGTTGACAATGTAATACGTGTCACTCTTAGTTTTCATTTCCCCAACAGCAGGGTCATGTCCATAATTTTATCCCCATCAAACTCCTTCACAATGTCAAACAAGTTTGCTATCGGCTATTTCAAGCCATCCAAGTTACAAACCACAATGGTTTATAGTATTACAATAAATTTTATAAATTGCATACAGATTTTCCATATTTCCAAACAGCAAAGCTTAATTACCACCACCTCTACATCAAAGGTAAACTCTCTAATCAGACATATGAATAATGTACAATCAACATGATAATGCTTAACTACAATAAGGTAAAGATCATCCAGTATGGATATTGCAGAAAATGCTGGGACCAAGGCAACACTTGTAGATGACTAGGAAGCCCTGAAAGCGGGGACCAATTCTGCAAATGTGAAAAACAGAGGGGTACTTGCTGTGCAGCACTTCCCATTTTGCTGAAGACCTGTGACCTTTAAGCCATCAGGCATCCCCTCTCAAATTTCTGCTGTATTCAAAATTACAATTTCTCCAGATATCAGACCACAGAATATATGTAACATTTCTGCACGCAAATTCGCCCACCTCATATTTAATCCAGTATGCAGCATATATCATTTAATTCAAGTAATATTTGGTTTGGAAATGCTACTGACTTCAACCTGTATTTTGAGGGGGAAAAAAACTTTCCTGATGATTAAACAAGCAGCTCAGCTTTATGGTCTGTTAAGGATGCAAGATCAGCTGCAAGGTGCTTCAGTAATCCTACGGTAGGTCACAAAATGGTAATGGCTGCCTCTCATAACTGTTAATCTGTGTTCCTAATGAGAGGTGTGTGTGCCAATGCTGGATGAAGAAGCATTAAAGCTTAGTCACAACTCTCCCTCAAATTATGAAGAAACAGGAACACAAACATTTTCTTTCCTCGCTTTGACAAGACGTTTGTGTACACAGGCTCCAAAGACCAATTCAAGGAATCAACAAATTACTCCAAAATAAAAACTGACATCAAAATAAAACATAGCTTGTTTTTTTAAAAAACTGCCCAGCTATCATCACGCGATCAGTCAACCTAACTTCGGTGCAAGAAAACTTCAAAAGACCATAATCCAAGAGCAACCAAATATTCACATGGAAAAATCTACATTAATTAATGACACATGAAACAGATAAAACAAGTCGTGCCTGACAAACTTGATTATATTCAATGAATTAACAGTACAGGAAAGTACTGAACTTGATGTATATCTGGATTTTCAAACACTTCACAGGGGCAATAACAGAATGGTGAGTAAATAGATAAAAGACAGAAAGGTGAATGTAGTGGTCAATAGCTGTTATTTAAATGGAGGGAATTTCAGTAAAACACTGCTTTATTGGATATATTACTGACCTGAACTTAGGTACAGAAGGCACAATTTCAAAATTTAGAAATGTAGTAAACAGCACGAATGATAATAGTATACAGTAAGACAAACTAGTGAAAACAGCAAGGGAAATTTAATGCAGGGGTGTGAAGTGATGCACAAGAAACAACCCAGGGGCTCTCTCTCACTGTCTCTAACCCGCACACAGATGCAAAGTAAGCAGGAAACAGTCATGTAATTAGGACAGAATAAAAGTTGAATTTGTTCTCTTTGGAGCAGAGACAGATTTAACATCGGTGTTCAAAGTTATGAAGAGATTTTAGTACAGGAAATCAGAATCTGTTACACTGGCAGAAGATTCATTAAGTGAAGGACTGTAAGTTAAGATAATTGGCAAAAAGAACCAGGGAATAAGGTTTTTTAAAAAATGTGGTACATCATGATGAACAGGCGTGCACTGTCTGAAAGAGTGGCAGCAGCAAATTCAATGCCGACTTTCAAAAGGGAATTGGATATATACTTAAGGAATGGTGCTGACAGTACTATGCAAAGAGCATGAATAATTGAAGAGCCATTTCAAATTTTATACTGGAAAAAAAATGCTTCCATTACTTATAATCAAGATTCCAAATAGATTTTTGTATATAAAAAACGTGATAATCTTAGGCATATTGTAGACATTAGTAACTGGTGACATCTAGTGGCAGGAAGCAATCGATCTCTGCAAAACAGCTGTATTAAAGTTGAAAAATTTACAGTCTGATCTTTTGGTGGCCAACTTCCTGTCCAGTCAATCTTGACAGGAGGCAAAGTCCGTGAAAATGACTAGGCTTTTGTGCAACAACAGCCCAAGTCAAATTTTATTCAAGAGCCTGAGAAACACTTCTGCTACTCCCAGTTTTCACAGAAATGATTTAAAAACTTACCTGCAGCACTCATCTTTGGCTGGACAGCCAAAACGGCATTCAGGATCTACATACTCCTTAAGACCTCAATTTGAATATTTAAAATGCTAAACACCCGACCCAGAAAGACTGTCCAGCTATCCAACGGTTGGTCCTGGTGAATGTAGGGATACCCATATTGGAAACAACACGACCTCAGTCCCCACCACTTCTGGAGGGCTTCTGTCCCATATCTGCTGAGCTGGAGGCTTCAAATCACAATGTGTGTGGATGAAATGTTGTTACAAGTCTAGTATTACGTGAAAAGCTGGTATCTGCAATCTACAACTTATTAAAAGCCAGCTGAGGTTGTCGATTTAATAAGCATTTTCTTCAAGTTTTAAACATAAAGCCAGGTGAGTCTTGCATTTCCAGTCATTTAGTAAATACTGTACGCTAAATTGGACATCTGTGGAAAAAGATGAAAGTCAAATGCATTTATCAGAGTTGAACTAAAACAAAATTGAATTGAAGATTTAGCTACATTCTATTAAAAATGGAGCAGGTTTTATGGACTTAAATCAGTAGTCAATTTATTTTCAAAGAGTAAAGAATGTGAAATGCTCTGAAAAAAAGTAAAAGTCTAAACTTAAAATTGAGCAATAGAAATATTAAAAATATGTTACCAAGGTTATCTGCTCAATGGGAACATTTAATGAGGCAAGTGAAGATGCTTAACATGTCATGCAAAATGCATCAACTGAAGATGATTTTAAAAGGTATTTCTTTCAAACTCCATCAGTGAAAGTGACTACGTCACTGGCAAATTGTAGGAGATACGTTCTGTGGTCAAAAATAGTTGATTTTTAAAATAAAATAGAAATGCACAGAACAATGTATCCTCAAAAATCTGGAATATACTAATTATTGCTAGCTCCATTTCACATGAATATAAGCATCTCTAAAGAACCTACTCACCTTATAACCTACCTGAATTTTCTTCAGACATGTTTAAAAAAGGCTTTGCAGAAAAATTCAAAGTTAGGCAAGATGACTAATTTGAAGAGGAATACTTTCTAAGTTTATAAGCTATATGGTGATTTAGGCAATGCAAAACAAATCACACCGTCTAAATTATGACTCCTTATTTTCCTAAACCTTGATGCACTACAAAGGTTCAAAGCAACAATATCCAAGCTCAATATGAAAGACTTTGTAAAGATCACTATACAGACGAGCTGATAGTGTACTTGTCTTGACATTTACTTTTCACTGGTTCAAGACCATGTTTTCCTGGCCTAGATCCAGTGTTGGTATAATGGCTTTGGTTTACGTGCTGCTACTCTTGTCCAACTTGATTCACCTTATCAGGGCGAGCAGGTTGTCAAGAAGTTTGATGACATGCTCAGTGCAGGCGTTGCGGTAGATCGGAGACCCGCTGGGTGTGAATCCAACCACGAACCCTCCGGCCTTTGCCTCCTCCAGGTCAGTAGGCCAGCGAGCCCGCTTCACAACTCCAAGTATGGTGTAAACACACAAGCTGATCTGTCAAAATAAGGTAAAAAGCAGAGATGAAAGCTCTCGCAACATGTCACTGATCTTTACCAGCAGTATCTGGGGATCACTACCTCCAGGCAGCTGTGGCAACAAATTGCTGACTGCAGCAGTTAGGAACAGTGGGCTTTGCTCAGGAATTTTTTTGTGGCGGGAAAGGCGGGCAATGTGCATGAATGTGCCAAGAATTTCAAAATGTGATATTACACAGTGCTACGCAGGTTTTCAGTACTCCATGCTAAACATACATAAGTATCTTTGACTTCGGAATCAAACAGTAAAAATACAATCAAGTCCAGATGCAGTCCAAATCTACTGCTTTTACAAGACATAGAATTGGCACCCATAAGATTACAAGAATAAAATCAGACTTTTCCTAATTTCTACTGTACATGGCCTGTACATTTTGGCCCAGTAACAGTCTTAAGCTATGCAAGTACATTTTGTGAACAGAGATCTTTTTCTGCTCAACACTCCCCTCCCAAAAGGCACACCTGCGGCATCTCCTGCCATTAAAATCTGAAATAAACAACAACTTAAACCATGCTTCAAGGTCCTTATTTTAATAATACCAAAAATATACCAATTATTCCACAACAATCCAACATAACAGATTCCATCCACCATAACGGAATGCCACTCCTGACAAATGAAGCTTATTTCCAATTACAAAACAATGTTTTCATTGTCACCAGTATCTCAAAGTTAAGCAACTGTATTGTACAACCCCAATTCCTTGTCCAAATATCATCATACTGTGATCAATTTGACATAACCTTTCTTGTAATTCAAAAATATATTTCACACAGCTTGTTTATCTCTCGCCCACCTCCCTGTTTTTACAAAAAAAAGAACACTTCACGGTACTTCAATATTTGTAATATTTTGTTCAGGACTACTGGTAGAAGTCTTCATCATAGATCGTGAACAGCAGGCCTTGATATGTTCCATGACCATCCCTTAAGAGGATTCCTGTATTACACGGACTCTAAAATTAAGATTGGATACAAGATGATTTTTGACAAATTATCTGAACATTCATAAAATGTAGCAGGACATGTGTTAGTGGTATCATAAAACTAAAACGATTTTCCAGTACAACTGAATTTAAACAGCATTAGCATGACGGCAGTAAATTAGCCATCCTCCTGGAATAACACACAACCAGGTAGATGTGTAGTTCCACAGGCATAGTTTAGCCACAAAATATACATACCCGAGATCTGTTGATGCCTGCTGGATCTTCTCTAATGGGATCATCTGGAGTGACATCGGCACCAATGTAGGAAAGAAACATCGCTGGATCTGAAAGCACTCTGAAACACAAAATAATCATGAAGTTTAGTGCACTAAATGAAATGGTCAGCTTCAAAATTTATACTGTTCATCAACTGACCCATGCTCTTAAAATGCCAAAACCATAGAAATGCAAAGTGGTAGACTTCCAATTGAAATACCACTAATAAAACTCAAAATTATCTCCAGTACCAATACATTGCCCTCAGCAATATTTTCTGCAAATCTCAAATCTATTCAAGACTTAGACCCTATTGTTCTACGCAAACAGGACATTTCACATCTTTTGCAGTTCGAGACAATCAAGGTAAAAGGGGATGCCAGAAGTAAAGTATCATGAGAATCACTTTTTTCTAGCTTTAAGAAAAATCAAGCTTTATTTCTTTTCTGAATACCCCTCTCATTTCATTCAAAGCTCCAGATACTTTGACCAACTTAACCCTTCATTCCCTCTATAAATTACCATGAACTGAAGCAAAACAATTAAAACTCATTTTCTTATTGACTCGTTGCTTGCTCCTAAAATCTACAGGTTTTTAAAAGCAAAAATTCAGCATCACGAAGTCACTACTTAATTACAGATAGTGTAATTCCTATATTTGTGCATGTGGGATGGAGGTGGGTGAAGGGAGCTGATCACATCCCTTGCAACTATAGACCAGTCCGCATCACGTTAGTCTTCGGAAAGATTAATGGAATCCCCACTGAAAGAACATCGAGAAGCAAAAATACAATGAACAAATCAGCATGGACTTGAAAATGGAAAATCTTGCTTTGTTTTTCTTAGATGTTTTTGATTATAAACGGAAGTAGCTGAAAGGATAGGCATTGGCAATACAGTAGACAATTTATCTGAGCCTTCATACCACACAAATAAAAAATTCAGAGAATGAAGAATCAGGTAAAACGGAGCTGAATAGATTGCTGGCTGGAGAGTGTGGGGAAAATAAAAGGTTATTAATTCACAGTGGCAGAAAGGTGAGAAGTAGTGTCCCACAATGATAATGCTGGGCCAACTACAGTTCGTAATATGCATTAGCAATGTAAACTTGATACAAAAGCAAAATTTCTAAATTTGCAAATGCTGAAGACAATTGCCAGAAATTATTAGAAAACATTAATGAACTTGAAGAATGGCAAATGAAGCTCAAAACAGGATAATATGAAGTATTAAACTTTGATAGGGAGACTTTTACTCGAAAAGTGCAAGTTTACATAGAGTACAGGATGAAAAGGATCTTGGATCACAAATATATCAATATATTACCAAAGGCTGCATTACAGATTAGCAAGGCCATATAAAAATTAAACCAAGCACTATACTTCACATCTAGAATCAGGGAATTGAAAAAGTAGGGAAGGTATGCTAAACTTGTAATTAACCTTGGTGGACCACGGGGTGAGCACTGCTGCCTCACAACACCTGGGACCCAAGTTCAATTCCACCCTCGGGCGACTGTGTGGAGTTCACACATTCTCTTCATGTCTGCATGGGTTGGCTCCAGGTGCTCCTGTTTCCTCCCACAGTCCAAAGATGTGCAGGTTAGGTGGACTAGCCATGCTAAATTGTCCTTAGTGTCCAGGGATGTGCAAGCTCGGTGGGTTAGCCATAGGGAATGTGGGATTACAGGGGTAGGGGTGTGGGACTAAGTGGGATGCTCTTCAGAGGGTGGGTGTGGACTCAATGGTCCTGCTTTCACACTCTAGGGATTCTATGGAAACCACTATTTGGAGTCTAGCAAGTAGTTCTTGCTGCCATATTACAGAAAGGATGTAGAGTGACCAGTGGAGGTGACGTGGGTAAGGTTTACAAGGACAAAATGCATAGATACATGTCAGGTAATTATAGATAAGATATGTTTCTTTTCTTCAGATAAAAAAGAAAATGACAAGATGACCTACAGTTCGTTGCACTGAAGAAAGTTGGTTCAAAAGGCAGCCCATGGGCCACAATGTCGCCTATCAAAGATTCCAAATACAAGACACACAAGTGGAAGGTGCTGAAAGGAGATGCTCCTCCAATCAGAGACCACGTCACTCATGTTTTCTCCTTACGTACTAACCAGCAAATACAAAGTGAATTAGCTTCCAATTGGAAGAGCAGCAAGCTGTGAAAACCCGAGTTGTTTAATGCAGCCCAAGGTCAACACATCATGGACAGTGACAGAGATTCTGCTCTGGCAGGACATGTCAAAAGGTGGGATTTGTGGTAAGGATGCAGGAGAAAGAGGTTTCGAGTTGTCAGGGAGGCGTGGAACAAAAGCTCAGAACCCACAGCAAGAGAAGGCTCTCAACCTCTTCGTGCAGGTGCTGCCACAATGAAGGAAGCATTTAAAACAGCAGTGGGACACCAAATCAAATACATTTAGTATTACACAGCTTTTTGCTGCTCTGATTAGTTAGCATTACAGGACACCAACTGGCGACTTGGTCAGGACGGTAATCAGCGATTCAAACAGTGTGCTCAAAAGTGTCACTTAAGCTTAATTTGAATTGGGGAAAAAAAACATGGCCATTCTGATTTCAATATGAAATGTTTGCTGTAAAGTCAATTACGATGCTTGTGATAGCAGAAAGTTTTGAAGGGTAAAGCACGACAGATGAACTTAAATCTGGCATTTTTTAAAAATTCCTTCACAGGATGTGGGCATGATGAGTTAGGCCAGCATGTATTGCCTGTTGCCAATTGTCAAGAGAGACCACATCACTGTGGGTCTGGATTCACACAGAGGCCAGGCCAGGTCAGGATGGCAGATTTCCTTCCCTAAAGAACATTAGTGAACCAGATGGGATCGTCCCCCTACAATCGACAACAGTTTGACGGTCACTATTAGACTCTCAATTTCAGATTTTTTTGCTTCCCCCTTACCCCATTTGAATTCAAATTCCACCATCTGCTATGGCAGGATGCAAACCCAGCTACCCAAACATTAACTAGATCTCTGGATTAATAGTCTAGCAATAATAGTAGAGAATAGAGAATAACAGCGAAAGAGAGTGTGAGACAGCCACTAGCCCCGTCCCTCATTATCACGGGATCTTTTCTGTCTCTCCCTAGATCTGCGTTATAATTAAAAAGACAAATTGCTCTGCTGCTCAGCACTTTTAAACAGACATTTTTATTAATGAGTCTCTCATTTAAATTAAAGTTTACTTTGGATTTTTTTTTCCTGAAGGTCGCTTCTCTGTTTTGCGAAACCTTCTCTTTCCAAAACGTGTTCACGGAGTCCACCAATTGACAGAAAAATTGACCTACAACATCCCAACGCAGACAAGTCGGACCAATGTTGTAGTAGAATGATTATAGGAACAATGTTTCCACATGGGTAAGAGGATGACTGGAGGCCCTTAATTAACACAGATACCAAGAAATCCAGTAAGCAATTCAGAAAAAAAAAGCTTTACCCAAAGTATGAGGAGAACACTGAATTTCTTATCACAAGTGGTAGTTGCAGGGAAGCTAGACCGGATTTAGATGAAAAAAAGACAGAAGGTTCATGTGCAGACCAGCATAGACTGGTTGGATGATATGACCTCTTTTGAGCCATATATCCATTACAGTATGTCTTCTTACACTTTTATCAAAGACTGGTGCTGAGTTGGCCATTCAGCCATGTCTCAAAATTTAATCAAATCGTTTAGAACCAAATTTATGTAAAGTTTGTTTAAAACAGTCACGTTGGCATTTAAAGTCAGCTTTCATTTGTTCTAGATCTCAACTTAAGAATGGTTATAACTTTTGGAATTAATTACATAAAGGCATATTAATTTCATTAATTAATACACTTCAATATGCAGCAGTTATAAACATGCACTTCTGCACACCAATCATCACCCACAAAAATATCTGTTCAAAAGCATACCTCTGCATCTCCTCAGACAACCAAAGGTTAGTAACAGGGGCCATGAGTTCCTCTAGGAAGGCTTTCTGTCGCTCATAATCCTTGAACTGATTGCTCAGGAGAACCAGAGATTCCATTAAAGCACACTTCTCCAACTGTGTAAGTTGCCGTTCGTCTTGCTGCAGACGCTTGACATGGGCATAGAACATTTCAAACACCGGCTAAAAATAGAACAACCATTTAAATCAAACTTTTGCACTCTTTTTTAGAAGGACAAATCCTGTGCAAAGAATAAGAATGGTACCACAATTAAGCAAACACTTCAGCTTCCCTTCTAAAAAGGTGAGACCAAATTTGTCGAAATGGCTGTACTTCAAGACGAAGATGATTAGCACATGTAGTATGCGAATTTGAGCACTCTGCTAACTCACCCTCCCCTACTGACCCCTTTGTTTTATAACAAATTGCATATTCTCAATGCAATTATGGCACCATCATCCATCTGCACAGAATTGCAACCCTGATGTCACACCATGTCCTTTGTTCTATCCATGTATGCTCTTAATTCAGAAGGCTAAACTGATGAATTTCATTTCTGTGGGGAACAAAGGCAAATTGTCTACCTATAGATTATCTGCCAGAATCACAGGTGACTCTGCCAAAAAGAAACAGCCCAGAAACATAAAACAGGAGTAGGCATTCTGCCCAATGAGCCTGCTTTGCATTCATTGATCATTGATGATCCTCTCTCAATGCCATCTTTCCACTCTCTCCCCATACCTCTGTACACCTTTAGCCATTAGCAATCTATTCCTTTCTTAAACATTGTGTCAGTTTGCCTCCACAGTCTCATGTGGTAGAGAATTCCATAGGTTCACCACGCTCAGAGTGAAGAAATTTCTTCTCATCGCAGTCCAAATTGGCCTATTCCATATCCTGAGATGGTGAACCTTTGTTTGGGAACCTCTGCCCATGTACAGGGAAACATCATTTGCATATCCAGTCTGTTTAGCCCCATTAGAGTTTAGATGTTTCTTTTAGATCACCTCTCAATTCTTCTAAACTTGAGTGAATGATGATCCAGTCAATTCAATCGCTCCACGTACACCAAACGTACCAACCCAGGAATCAGACTGGTGAACCTCCACTGCACTCACTTTATGGCAAGTACATCTTTTTTTGAAAAGGAAAACAAAAAAGTGCACGTAGTACTCCACATGTGCTCTCACCAAGGCCATATAGAGCTGTTCTGACTTCCTTCTGCCCTCAAAGCCTCTTATAATGAAGGTCAATATACCATTTGCCTTACTAGCTGTTTGCTGCATCTGTAGGATGGCTTTCAATGTCAGGTGTACAAGAACACCCAGGTTCCTTTATACATTCACATTTACTAATCTAATATTTAAGTAATACTTGCCAAAGTGGACAACTTCACACTCACCCACATTGTACTACATCCACCATGCATTTGACCAGGCACTCAATTTGTCTAAATTGCATTGAAGGCTCTTGACACACTCTTCACCAGTGACCCACCCGGTTTTGTGTTGCCATCAAATTTGTAAACATTAGATTACATCTGAATTGTTGATAATATATTGTGAATAGCTGTGGCCCTGCACTACCATATTTGTCGTCACTTGCCACTCTGAAAAAAGACCCATTTAATCCTAATTTCTGTTTACTGTCTGCTAACCAACTTGTGGCCCATGCCAGATATCCAAAAATATCTTTTTCAGCAAAGACTACCAGGCAACTTTAAAAAAATGATCTGATCTGTTTCATAGAACCTCTACAGTGTGGAAGCAAGCCATTCTGCCCATCAAGTTCACACCAACTCTCCAAACAGCTTCCCACCCAGCCCATCCCCAATGCCTGTAAACCTTGCAACTTCCCTGGACACTACGGTCAATTCAGCATGGGCAATCCATCTAACCTGCACATATTTGAACTGTGGGAGAAAACGCATGCAGACATGGGGAGAACATGCAAACTCCACACAATCGCCCAAGGCTGGAACTGAATTTGGGTCCCTCGCACTGTGAGGCAGCAGTGCTAACCATTGAGCTATCATGACCCCAGATGAAGTGCAGAAGTAACCTGCAGGCACAACTGTCATTCTAGATTATATTAACAAATTTAACAAAATTCAGAAATTTCCTGAACCAGGAAAACAGTCTGAAAGCCCTGTGGCCAGAACAGATAGGCTGAAAGATATTAATTCATAATTTATAAGTTATCTATCTTTTCATAAGCTTACGAAAAGACAAAATGGCTCGGCCACAAAACACAGTCTAGGTTCACAAAGGAAGGCCACTTGGAGAGAGTAAGGGAAGAAGCCCAGGACCATGATAGACGCTGCAAAGAGTTAACAGTTTGGAGAAGTGGGAAAAGAGGAAAAAGAAAAGAAACTGACCAACTAAAACGTTTACGCCCCAAGTATTAAATGTTTCAGTCTGGTCAGCTTGGGACTGGAATGGCTACATAACGCTTAGTATATGCTGGTTTAAGATAATACTTTCAAAAATCACCAAGAGAAAAAAAGCAAAATCAACCTCTTCGAGTGAGCACAAAATGAGAACAGTAAGACCTTTCAGCACTTACCATTATCAGTTCTGGGTGATCTCTGCACATCTTGAGAATAGACGAACAAGCATGCCTACGAACATTTTTCACTGCTCTTGTTCTTGGAGCCTGTAACCCCAATAGAGGCACATTCTAAGTACAGACCTGCTATCAATGTTTTGCTATTTTCTTCTTTTAGTGAAGAAAGTTGTCCTACCTGGCTCTCCTCGACCACTTCGAAAGTCGCAGATGCAAAGAGCTAAAGAAAAAAAAATTAGAATAAATTTAGAGCGATTAGCTGAAATTCATATGATTGCGAACCTTTGACTGTCCACCCCAGAGGGTTGTGCACTAACCATACTCAAGGTTCGGATAGAAAAATGATGTTAGGGCTACATGAAATAGGGCTGCAAAACAAACAAAAAGTTAGGTATCTAGATGCCATTTCTCATCTTCACAACAGTCAAACAATACAGGAAATATGGGTACAAAAGTCGTAGTGAGGTGGAGGATCAGCAGTGATCATCCTGAATGTGGAACAGACTCAATGAGCCACTGAGCTTCTCTTGTTCCTTTTCCATTGGGTCTTATCACCAGTGTATTAACTGATGTAATTGGGTAAATTACAGATTTAGGAGTATCATTAAAAGACACTTGGTACTGCAGAACCAGAGTGCAGCTGAGAAAAAAAAACTCGTTTGAAGCTTTTCATTTTATACTCATCAGGATATGTGCAAGGATATTATTGTAAAATGGAAGCATTTTACACTGTACATGTAGACAGCAGTGACTGGTTGGCATATATGGGACTCAGATAGGTAGAAGCACTATCATGGAGAATGCACCCCAGTTCAAGAGTCACTAACAATCAACTACCAAGCTTTGTTTCAATTTAAACCATACAGATTGACACTCGTCTAGACATGACTCTGGGGAATAAACCAGAAAATGGTTGTTGTGCCTGTTTCAACTAAATAAGATAAGCAATGTGCATATAGATGATTTGTATACAAAGAATATGGTAGTGTGTACTAATATATGTAGCTACCAACATACGCAAAACCCACACTGCACGCCTGATTAGCTTAAATTTGTTTATATTCATTGTCTTATATTCACCATGATAATTTTTAAATGGGTAAAAATATTGAGGCATATTAGCATGTGGTGTGAAATGCAATACAATTCATTATTCAAAGCTGAAAATAATATTCACAGTCCCAAGCCAAAAATTAATTGTTCAAATACCAAAATCCATGCACCAAAATCTAAAATACCGAAAGCTGGCATCAAAGAACACAGTTTCCTTTATTAGAGTGGAGAAGTGAAAAGCGGACAAACAGAACATAGAATTGGCCCTTCAGCCCATGTCTACACCAATCATGATACAATTCTAAACTAATTCCATCTGCCTGCACTTGGTCCAGATCTTTCTATTCCTGCCTGTTCATGTGTCTGTCTGAATGCTCATAAAGTTGCTACTCCATGTACTTCTACCACGTCCCCTGGCAGCACGTTCCAGGCACCTACCACTGTGTAAAACAAGACATATTCTGCACATCTCTCGAACTCCGCCTCACCTGAAACCTCTGCTCCCTAGTATTTTACATTTCCACCATATCCATGCATCATAATTTGAAATACTTCTTTCAGATTGCCCCTCACTCTCCGACATACTAGCAAAAATAATCCAAGTTTGTCTAACCTCTCCTTATAGCTGATACATTCCAATCCAGGCAACATCGTGATAAACCTCTCTTGCATCCTCGTCAAAGCCTCCATATCCTTCCTATGGTAGGACCAGAACTGCACACAATAGTCCAAATGTGGCCTAACTAAAGTTTTCTTCAGCTGTAACACGTCTTGCCAACTTTTATACTCCATGCCCAATCAATGAAGGCAAACATGATGTATGCCTCCTTTACCACCTTATTCACTTGTGTTGTCACTTTCAGGGAGCTATGGAATGCAACCCCCAAGATCCCTATTTATATCAATGCTCCTAAAAGTCTTGCATTTACTGTATATTTTCCTCCTCCATTTGACCTCCCAAAATGCATCACCTCACACATTAATCTCCATTTGACACTTCTCCACCCAACTTTCCAACTGATCTTGCTGTATCCATTGATAACCTTCCTCACTATCCAAAACTCCACCAATTTTCATGTCTTCTGCAAACTTATCAATCAGACCACCATATTTTCATCCAATTTATGCATTATAAATAACAGGGGTCCCAGCACTGATCCTTGTGGGCCATCATTAGTCACAGATCTCCTGGCAGAAAAACACCTCTCCACAACTACCCTCTGTCTTTTTATGACCAAGCCAATTTTGTATCCAATTTATCAACTCACCTGTGTATCCCGTGTAACTTAATCTTCTGGACCAGCCTACCGTGGGGGGCCTTGTCAAATGCTTTAGTGAAGTCCATGTAGGCAACATCTATTGCCCCATCCTCAATCATCTTCATCACTTCCTCAAAGTCATCAATCAAATTTGTAAGACAAGATCTCCGTTGCACAAAGTCATGCTAACCATCCCAAATACATCCATTCTTTTCCAAATGCGAGTAAAGCCTGATTCTAAGAATCTGTTTCAATAATTTCCAAACTACTTATGAGGCTCACCAGCTGATAACTTCCTGGATTATCCCTTGGCCCTTCTTAAACATAGCAATAACACTGGCTATACTTCAGTCTTTTAGAACCTCAGGATAATACCACTTCCAGGCCACTGCATTTCCATCACCATAGAGCTTACTTTGTCTTGTCACATTACAAAAGCCATCACTGAAAATAACTGTACTTCATACTTCAAGTATTCCCAATCCATTGCACATTTGATGGAATTTTTTAAGAACAGCTAGAGGTTAAGGGACGACAAGCTGACACCCAACTGCACATCTTAACTGCAGTAAAGTCCAGTTGATCACAGGGAATGCACTCTGGGCAACAGCAAGAGTAAGCAATGCATGATGCATGCATAAAAGTATAAGTTTACTCGTGAAAAACTAAGCATGAGTGAACACTGTAGTCGCAAAGGATGAAAAAGGTATATAGTAAGTACTATACAGATAAGCAAACTCAGAAGGACAGACACGCAAATTGTGAAATTTTACTGTACTTTTTCTCCTTTGTCATATGCAAGGTTAATGGGTTACAGTTTACAACAAATCATCTCCAGTAAGACTTAGAACAGTGGACTTGATTAACCTTTAGGGGGACTGCATTTCAGTTGTCAACATTTTTGGAACTATGCCAGCAAATTTGAAGAAATCAGTTTTTCCAAAAGTTCTACAGATTGGCGCGCAAAAAACAAAATACCTTTTCGAGGACTTGTGGTAAGACAGTGGCATCATGGAGAAGGAAAGGAGAAAGTGTGGACACAGCTGTTAGGATGCATGATAGAATGAGCGGATCATGGGTTTGATAACTTAAAACAGCTTTTAGCAGCTCAATTCCATCTGCCACCGGAAGTTGCTGCAAAACAAACAAAAAGTTAGGTATCTAGATGCCATTTCTCATCTTCACAACAGTCAAACAATATTCAATGGTAACTAAAATTTTAAATGATATTCTAAAATTCTAATTGGTTCCATTAAGGAACTAGGATTTTTAAAAAATATTTTTAAATTATTTTAAAAATTATACTTCCCAATTTCTCTCTCCACACAAATAAAAATAGTAAACATGCATCACAGCCCAGATTTAAATGCTTGGTTTTGAAGATATACAAGTCTAATTACAGTCGTGTGCAAAATTAGGACATTTGCTTCATCTCCAAAAATGTCACCCTAGTCTCCTCCAAAATACCCCAGTACCACCGAGTTCAGTGAAACCCAGCAGCCAATGGGTGAGAGAAGGCACGATACCCATCTCTCTGGTCGAAATGGAGGAGAAAGGGATGGAAAACAGAGTAAAATAAAAACACTGCCACAGCTTTAATTCTGGCTGAACGTTTGAATAAAGCTGCTGCCAAGCATGGCCACAGTCCTGTGACAATGCACCAAATTAAAGTTGGTATTTTGTTCCACACAGCTCTTTCCCAAAAGCAAAAGATAGAAAATGGGAACATAGTGAACCCCCAATATATGGCATTTGCTCAACAGGCAAGGACTAGGCAAGAGGAAAGGGACTAACATTCTAGTTTCTTAATTGCAAATTTAAGTTCCTGTCCTACAAGTATATGTTTGTGGACTACCAACAATTGTGATCTTAATAAATCATGAAGCAATGTTTCCTGAAAACACACTTGGAACTGTGTGAACACCAAATGAATTACAAACACATTAAAGTCAATGCAACAAAGTCTCACTAGATTGACTCCTGGGATGAGGGGTGTTCTATGAGGAGAAATCAAGTAGGTTAGGGATATAGAGATTAGGAACTGAAAGATGATCTCATTAAAAACAATAAAACAATTCTCAGGAGGACTCAAAGTAAATCCTGAGTTTTCAAATGGCTGGAAAATCAGAACAAGAGGTGTGCCCATTTACTACTCAGACAAACAGAAATTTCTTTACTCAGAGTAGTAGACCTTTGGAATTCTCCAGCTTAGAACACTGTGGATGTTCAGTCTATGAGTATATAAGATAATTAATTTTTGGGCATGAAAGAAATCGGAGGGTAGGGTAGGAAAATGGAGTTGATGTACCAGATCAGTTATGATCTTATTAATGGGCAAAGGAGCCATATGGCTTACTTCCATTCTGTATGTCAGAACTGCAATTGGAATGATTATTGCCGTTTAAAATGGAAGGTTGCCCAAGCAAGTACTGGCTCTGATTATTCACGCACCTCAGGCTCCATGGTTCTGAATAGCTGGCTCATCACACTCTCCATAAAGAAGGTCAGTGCATCCCACTGCACAAAAGATGGTGAAAAGATAGAGCACAAACCTTTGCCGGTCTTAGCTGTGGAAGGAAAAAGAAAATCTAAACCACTGACAAAGAGAATCATTGAATAGTTTATCTATAAGATAGAAACGTCTAAAATGATGCATTGAACCATGACCGTATGGAACCATTAGTTTATAAAGAAAATAATGAATTGAGTTCATGGAAAATGTAATTTGTGATAAAACAGTCCACCTCCCAGAAATTAGTGCAACCTAACAATGAATTCAATTTATTTACTTTTTTTTAACAAGTTCATTCACGGGTTGAGTACACCTCTGGCTGGGCCAGCATTTATTACCCATCCCTAGTGCTGTCAAGATGATGGTGGCGACTATCTTCTTGAACAGCTGCATACCACTTGTTGTAGGGAGAACTGCAGTGTTATTAGGGAGAGAGTTTTCTATTTACTGATGAGGGGACAATGAAGGAACAAAGATATATTTCAAAGTTTGGATGGTGAGTAAACTTGCAGGTGGTGGCATTCCCAATTATTTGCTGCCCTTGCCCTTCTAGATTGTTTGGAAGGTGCTGTCTAAGGAACATTACTGAATTTCTGCTGTGCATCTTGTAGATGATGCATACTACTGCTATTGAGTCAATAAAAACCTATACTAACACATACTACGGAGTAAAATTGTACATTAAGTGGCTGCAACTGCCACTGTGTAATATTTTTAAAACAAAAAAGAACAGCACAAAGACACAATAATTCTTGATCCTGGGTACAGACAATTGGTTCTAGGTGGATTTTCCTCTTCAAGTGCTGTAAAGAGGTCTCACAATGGGGAGTTTGATGCTTGGACGACTGGCACATAGACAGAAAACAGATACGTAAAGGGATTTCTGGGCCTCAGACTGACAGAGAACCCCAAGTAGACAGGGAATCCTGGAAGAGATATCTCAAGATGGGAGGGGTCAGAGCACAAGAAGGAACTGTCTAAAAGCCAAGCTGAGTTTTGTTCACAAAGTATAGTAGTTGAGCTGGTGAGTGAAGCAGACCAAAGTCATAACCAGTGACTACTGGCAGATCAGACATCATAGCAGCAATGTTCCACCACAAAAAAGCTAGTAAACAGCAGACAGAGTGAGGAAGTATCCTCAAACGTTTAGCAGCTTTGCATCAAGCATACAAATAACTCAGGGTTAAATCTGAAATGATGCCATCTTTCACTAGCAAGAATCACGAAACTTAGAGAGAAGGCAGGTGTCATGCATTGAAGCATTTAACAGTTATATGCAGGGTCAGCTGAAAGGAAGATAGAACATAGAACATAGAACATTACAGCGCAGCACAGGCCCTTCGGCCCTCGATGTTGCGCCAACCTGTGAAACCAATCTGAAGCCCATCTAACCTAAACTATTCCATTATCATCCATATGTTTATCCAATGACCATTTAAATGCCCTTAAAGTGGGCGAGTCTACTATTTTTGCAGACAGGGCATTCCACGCCCTTACTACTCCGAGTAAAGAACCTACCTCTGACATCTGTCCTATATCTATCACCCCTCAATTTAAAGCTATGTCCCCTCGTGCTAGCCATCACCATCCGAGGAAAAAGGTTCCCACTGTCCACCCTATCTAATCCTCTGATCATCTTGTATGTCTCTATCAAGTCACCTCTTAACCTTCTTCTCTCTAACGAAAACAGCCTCAAGTCCCTCAGCCTTTCCTCATTAGACCTTCCCTCCATACCAGGCAACATCCTGGTAAATCTCCTCTGCACCCTTTCCAATGCTTCCACATCCTTCCTATAATGCGGTGACCAGAACTGTACGCAATACTCCAAGTGCGGCCGCACCAGAGTTTTGTACAGCTGCAACATGACCTCATGGCTCCGAAACTCAATCCCTCTACCAATAAAACCTAACATACTGTACGCCTTCTTAACGACGCTATCGACCTGGGTGGCAACTTTCAGTGATCTATGCACATGGACACCAAGATCTCTCTGCTCATCCACACTACCAAGAATCTTACCATTAGCCCAGTACTCTGTATTCCTGTTACTCCTTCCAAAGTGAATCGCCTCACACTTTTCCACATTAAACTCCATTTGCCACCTCTCAGCCCAGCTCTGCAGCTTATCTATGTCCCTCTGTAACCTGCAACATCCTTCCGCACTATCCACAACTCCACCGACTTTGGTGTCATCCGCAAATTTACTAACCCATCCTTCTACGCCCTCATCCAGGTCATTTATAAAAATGACAAACAGCAGTGGCCCCAAAACAGATCCTTGAGGTACACCACTAGTAACTGAACTCCAGGATGAACATTTCCCATCAACCACCACCCTCTGTCTTCTTACAGCTAGCCAATTTCTGATCCAAACCGCTAAATCACCCTCAATCCCATGCCTCCGTATTTTCTGCAATAGCCTACCATGGGGAACCTTATCAAACGCTTTACTGAAATCCATATACACCACATCAACCGCTTTACCCTCATCCACCTGTTTGGCCACCTTCTCGAAGAACTCAATAAGGTTTGTGAGGCACGACCTACCCTTCACAAAACCGTGTTGACTATCCCTAATCAAATTATTCCTTTCTAGATGATTATAAATCCTCTCTTATAATCCTTTCCAACACTTTACCCACAACCGAAGTAAGGCTCACTGGTCTATAATTACCAGGGTTGTCTCTACTCCCCTTCTTGAACAAGGGGACAACATTTGCTAGTCTCCAGTCTTCTGGCACTATTCCTGAAGACAATGACGACATAAAGATCAAAGCCAAAGGCTCTGCGATCTCCTCTCTAGCTTCCCAGAGAATCCTAGGATAAATCCCATCCGGCCCAGGGGACTTATCTATTTTCACACCTTCCAGAATTGCTAACACCTCCTCCTTATGAACCTCAATCCCGTCTAGTCTAATAGACTGTATCTCAGTATTCTCCTCGACTACATTGTCTTTTTCCTGTGTGAATACTGACGAAAAATATTCATTTAGCACCTCTCCTATCTCTTTGGACTCCACGCACAACTTCCCACTACTGTCCTTGACCGGCCCCAATCTTACTCTAGTCATTCTTTTATTCCTGACATACCTATAGAAAGCTTTAGGGTTTTCCTTGATCCTACCTGCTAAAGACTTCTCATGTCCCCTCCTGGCTCTTCTTAGCTCTCTCTTTAGGCCCTTCCTGGCTAACTTGTAACTCTCAAGTGCCCTAACTGAGCCTTCACGCCTCATCTCTACATAAGCCTCCTTCTTCCTCTTGACAAGAGATTCAACTTCTTTAGTAAACCACAGTTCCCTCGCTCGACCACTTCCTCCCTGCCTGACAGGTACATACTTCTCAAGGACACGCAGTAGCTGTTCCTTGAACAAGCTCCACATTTCAATTGTGCCCAGCCCCTGCAGTTTCCTTCTCCATCCTATGCATCCTAAATCTTGCCTCATAATTGCCTTTCCCCCAGCTATAACTCTTGCCCTGCGGTATATACCGATCCCTTTCCATCGCTAAAGTAAACGTAACAGAATTGTAGTCACTATCACCAAAGTGCTCACCTACCTCCAAATCTAACATCTGGCCTGGTTCATTACCCAGTACCAAATCCAATGTGGCCTCGCCTCTTGTTGGCCCATCTACATACTGTGTCAGGAAACCCTCCTGCACACATTGGACAAAAACTGACCCATCTGAAGTACTCGAACTATAGCGTTTCCAGTCAATATTTGGAAAGTTAAAGTCCCCCATAACAACTACCCTGTTACTTTCGCTCCTATCCAGAATCATCTTTGCAATCTTTTCCTCTACATCTCTGGAACTTTTCGGAGGCCTATAGAAAACTCCCAACAGGGTGACCTCTCCTTTCCTGGTTCTAACCTCAGCCCATACTACCTCAGTAGACGAGTTGTCATCAAACGTCCTTTCTGCCACCGTAATACTGTCCTTGACTAACATTGCCACACCTCCCCATCTTTTACCACCTTCCCTGATCTTACTGAAACATCTAAACCCCGGAACCTGCAACAACCATTCTTGTCCCTGCTCTATCCATGTCTCCGAAATGGCCACAACATTGAAGTCCCAGGTACCAACCCATGCTGCAAGTTCACCCACCTTATTCCGGATGCTCCTGGCATTGAAGTAGACACACTTCAAACCACCTTCCTGCCCGCCGGTACAATCCTGCGACCTTGAAACCTTACTTATGACCTCACTACTCTCAACCTCCTGTACACTGGAGCTACAATTCAGGTTCCCATCCCCCTGTTGAATTAGTTTAAACCCTCCCGAAGAGCATTAGCAAATTTCCCCCCCAGGATATTGGTACCCCTCTGGTTCAGGTGTAGACCATCCCGTTTGTAGAGGTCCCACCTACCCCAGAATGAGCCCCAATTATCCAGGTATCTGAATCCCTCCCTCCTGCACCATCCTTGTAGCCACGTGTTCAACTGCTCTCTCTCCCTATTCCTCGCCTCGCTAGCACGTGGCACGGGTAACAAACTCTTTGTTCTAGCTCTGAGCTTCCACCCTAGCTCCTTGAATTTCTGCCTTACGTCCCCATCCCTTTTCCTACCTATGTCGTTGGTGCCTATGTGGACCACGACTTGGGGCTGCTCCCCCTCCCCCTTAAGGATCCCGAAAACACGATCCAAGACATCACGGACCCTGGCACCTGGGAGGCAACACACCAGCCGCGAGTCTCTCTCGTTCCCACAGAATCTCCTATCTGTCCCCCTAACTATGGAGGCCCCAATGACTAATGCTCTCCTCCTCTCCCCCCTTCCCTTCTGAGCAACAGGGACAGACTCTGTGCCAGAGACCTGTACCCCATGGCTTACCCCTGGTAAGTCGTCCCCCCCAACAGTATCCAAAACGGTATACTTGTTTTTGAGGGGAATGGCCACAGGGGATCCCTGCACTGTCTAACTGTTCCCTTTCCATCCCCTGACTGTAACCCATCTACTTTTTTCCTGTACCTGAGGTGTGACTACCTCCCTGTAACTCCTCTCAATTACCCCCTCAGCCTCCCGAATGATCCGAAGTTCCAGCTCCAGTTCCCTAACACGGTTTCCGAGGAGCTGGAGTTGGGTGCACTTCCCGTAGATGAAGTCAGTGGGGACACTAGTGGTGACCCTTACCTCCCACATTCTACAGGAGGAGCATACAACTGCCCTAACATCCATTCCCACCGTTCTGAATTCCCAGACAAATTAAAAAAACTAGTAGCCTTACCAAATCAGCGCTCAGAACCTTCTTTTTTGGTTAGAGGAGGAGGATGGGTGGGAGACACTACCTAGTGAGTGTTTCGGGTAAAGCAACCGCCCAAATATATTACCTCACTTACTCCAAAAATGGAGTCACGCGAGATAAGACTTTAATAATCGAAAAGCTCACCTTCCCAGGCTGCCCTCGCGCTTCCTCCCCGACTCCCGCCGCTGAAACAACATCAATTTTTCCAACACCAGCTAAGCCCCTCAAAAGTAAATCAAGGTCAATGCCGGTGGACATACAAGATCCAGAGACATTATTTCCAGAAAGGCAGCAGAGAGTTTGTCCAGTGTGTTGGCTGATAAACACACATGAATGTCGAGTAGGCCACTTAGACCCTCAAGCTTGCTCCAAATTTCAAGATGATCATGGCTGATCCAATTACTCCACTTTCCCACTTAGCCCTAATAACTGTTCATCCATTTATTTATTAAAAATCTACTTACCTCTACCTCAAATACAGGTATAGACTCATTACCCTCAGTAAACAAAAATCTTGTTTTAAACACAGTCAACCTCATTTTTAATCAGTGACCGACATTCTCTGAAGACGAAACATCCTTTCCACTAACATCCTGTCAAGAACCCTCAGGATCTCTGACATGTTTCAATCCAGTCCTATCTTGCTTTTCTAGACTTCAGCAGGTACAATCCCAGCCTGAGCAATCTTTCCTCATAGGTAAACCTTCCCGTTCCAGGTATTAGTTTAATCTTGTGATCCCAGCTGATGGTCATACTGAACAAGTTAGATTCTGGAGTGAAACGTATCTTGAGAGATCGCAAGTTTTACTTTTGTAATTTGATTACTGTGGTCAGTTTCTGAACATATTCACAGGTTATTAATGCACCATTAAGAAAAGAACAAAAATGGCTAAGGTAACACTTATTTTTAAGAGGGAAGACAGGCAGAAGACAGGAAATTATAGGCCAGTTAGCCTGACCTCAGTCACTGGTAAGATTTTACTGTCAATTATATAGGTTGAGATTGTGAAGTACTTGGAAGCGCAGGGTAAAACATGGCTGAGTCAGCACAGCTTCATCAAGGGGAGGTCATGCCTGACAAATCTGTTAGAATTCTTTGAGGGGTAACAAGCAAGTTAGACAAAGGAAAGACATTGAAGGTGATGTATCTGGATTACCAGAAGGCCTTTGACAAGGCTGCTAAATAAAATAAGGGTCCACAGTGTTAGGGGAAAGGTACTGACATGGCAATATGATTGGCTAACTGGCAGAAAGCAAAATGTAGGGAAAAAGGGAACTTATTCAGGTGATCAGTCAACTGGTGATTACTGAAGTTCTGCAGGGGTTCGTGTTGGGACCACAACTATTCACATTATACATGAACAATCTGGATGAAGGAACTGAGGGCATTGTTGCAATGCTTGCAGATGACACTAAGATCAGTGGATGGATGGATAGCTTTGAAGAAGTGGGGAGGCTGCAGAAGGACTTAGACTAGGAGAGTCGACAAAGAAGTGGCAGATGAAATAAAATGCGGTCAAGTCTGAGGTTATGCACTTTGGTAAGAACAACAGAGGTGCAGACTATCTTCTAAAAGGAGAAAGGCATTGGAAATCTGAAGTACACAAGGGTCTTGAGTGTCCTAGTTCAGAATTCTCTTAAAGTTAACATCCAGGTTCAGTCAGCAATTAGGAAGCCAAATGCAACATTAGCATTCATTTTGAGAGGCTAGAATACAAGATAAAGGATGTACTGCTAAGGCTGTGTATGGTGCTAGTCAGATCACATTTTGAATAACATGAGCAGTTTTAAGCTCCATATCCAAGGAAGCATGTGCTGACCTTGAAGGGGGTCCAGAGGAAATTCACAAGAATGATCCCAGGGATGAAGGGCTTGTCCCAAATGGAGCAGTTGAGGATTCTGGGTCTGGATGGAATTTAGATAGATAAGGGGAGATCTGATTGAAACAGAATACTGAGAGGCCTGGATATAGATGCGGAGAAGCTGTTTCCACTAGGAGAGACTAGTAGTAAAGGGCACAGCTTCAGAACGAAGGGACGACCCTCTGAGAAGAGGAGGAATCTCATCAGCCACAGTGATGGGCTAAATAGCATATTTCTGCTCCTATATCTTATGGTCTTACAGTTCCTCTGGACATAGTTTATTTCTTTACTTGCCCCAACATCACTTACTGTGACCTTGGACCACGAATCCTTCATTGCTTATCCACCCTGGCACATGCCCTTCAATTTGCTGTTTCCAACAATCTCTCTTTTCATTTGTTTAAAACACGTTGCACTTATAAATTGGCCCAACTTATTCTCTCTACAGATGCTGCCTGACTCACTAAGCAGCTGCCAGGTTTTTGGTTTTTACTTCAAAAGTGCTTCATTGCAAAGTTCTTTGGCGTTCCCTGAAAGGCAATACGGTATTGTAAATTATTTATATTCTATTGTTAAATGGATAGAAACATAGATATAGTTTGAAGTACTAATACTGTAGAGTTCACGCAGGCTGAACTGGACTCTAATTGCATCAGACTTACTTGAGAATGACAATGGGAATTTCCATTTCATATCATCTCTCACATGCAAAAGCCTAAGTCTACAGACTAGTTTCTTTTTGGGTAGAATATTGCTGATAAAGCACAACACTTTTTAATCTGTTCACAAGAGATGAACACTGGAAAAAGTATGCAAGCTGTTTGAAGCAGCTAATACCTAAATTTATCCATGAAATAATTTCAGAACTCTAGGCAGAAATACACAATCACAGTTAAAAACAATTTTGTAACTTAAGTGCATCTAAATTTTCCAACTCTTCATTTAGAATTAGGCAAGTAATTTATGGCCAGGTTCAATAACCAATATAATACATAATTCAAATAATGAATTATAATATCTAAGCAATTCTAACAGTACCTAATATTTCTTAAACGTCTCAATAATTAAAACAGAAAGGGAATGCTTAACAGCTTACACATTGTAGGGCCAACATCAATGACTGCCGTAAGCTGATACTGCAGGGCCTCAGAAGCCATGTTGAATCCAGTCATTGGTGACAGACGACAAGAGAGTCGAATGGTCTCTCCTTGTTGAGCTCGGAATGCTGCAAAAACAAAACAGTTAACTTGAATAAACAAAACAAAAAACTTTAAAATGCTTCAATATGCTACTCGAATAAATATACTGTTCTCTACATCGAGCTCAAATTCTCCAATACCAACAGGGTAAACTCAAAATGCTAGGTTTTTTTTTCCTTTATTCATTCACTGGATGAGGGTAACGCTGACCAGGCAGAATTTATTGCCCATCCCTAACTGCCCCAGAGGGCATTTCAGAGTCAACAATATTGCTGTGGGTCTGGAGTCACATGTAGGCCAGACCAGATAAGGATGGCAGTTTCATTCCCTGAAGGACAGTGAACCAGATGGGTTTTTCCGACAATCGGCAATGAGGTTGTGGTCATTAGATCCTTAATTCCAGATATTTCATCGAATTCAAATTCCACCATCTGCCGTGGTGGGATTCGAACCCGGGTGCCCAGAACGTTATCCGAGTCTCTGGATTAACAGTCCAGCGATAATACCACGAGGCCATCATCTCCCCAAATGTGTTGTAAATTCCAAGACATGCAAAGTTTGAAACAAATACACAAACTGTTGGAGCATTATAAATTAGTCTGTTTAAAGAGGAAATTCAAACCGTAGCACTTTCACTCAGAATTTTTTGATATGCTGCAATATATTAAAGTAACAATACACCACACTGAACTTACAATTGAAAAACGCATTGAAGTCTTCATCATTGTCAAAATCCACACGAGAATATTCACAACTTGGGCTGTCACTCTTGGAAGGAAATCCAACCTAGTCAAAAGAGAAGTCCATTACAAAAAAAATCTGTACAATTTCTTGGAATGCATTTTCAACTGCATTCAATTTCAACCAAATCAATGGAGGGAAATGCAGGGAACTTCAAAGGTCTAAGTTAATGGATGTCTGGGTTGAAATCTTCGAATTCCCTCTCCTGCTACAGCATGTAGACTGCAATGGCAGCTCACCACAACCTTCTCAGAGCAAACTAGGGACAGGCAATAAATGCTGGTCCATTCAGCAAAATTCACGTTTCACAAGAAAACAAATAAAAACTACACAAGTTCAATGCACAATGGATGATACAACCACGAAGCTCAAGAGACAACAGGAAATTCAGCACTGGAGTAGACTTTTATTCTTCTCAGTTTAGGATCGGAATTTTATCTTCCTGGTAGGGAAAAGAATGGACACCACTAATGCCAAAAGGAAAGAATTCAACTTGCCTTCGTATCACTTCAAAAATCTCAGGGCCGCAATTATACTGAAGTTGGCTTCCATAGTCAAAGAAAGACAACTGCAGCAAAACTTAATTCTTTTTAAAAGTGAATCTCCATCACTTTGCTTTGAGTTAAGTGATCCAAATGATCATTTATTCACTTCATAATTTATTCCCAGCTCCAAGCTACTCAGGAGCCTGAAAACCAACAACAGTTATTAACAGGCAAAAAAAAAAATCTATCATTGATAAAGGGTCACTGGTCCACAGGCCAATCAACTCCTTGTTGCCAGCAAACGTTGCATCAGCACACGCTCACCCAACCCACCAATCCCCAGCTCCAAATCATCTGCAATTCAACCTTTAATTATTGCTTGGTCAAACAGTTATTTTCATGATGCGTACAATTGGTGTCAGGTTCCTTGCTTTGAAAACTTCAGCCGCTCTTTGAAACACTTTAAGCAATTCTTTCTTATTTCAGTCCAGTTTTTAAAAATGCAAAATAAGAAAACAGTCTTTACACTCCTATAAGAGGAGAAAACTCAGAAGAAATGGAAACTGCTGGTGTACATACCTTCAAAAGATTAGCCATTGTTGCGTGCAACAATTGTGGAATGACCTCCAGCAACACAGGGTCCTTAGAGACATGCTCATGTCTTAAAAACGAACACCAGGCTATCTGAGTTGATGATCTTAAATACTGAACAAAAGAAATAGTTGACATCAGCTTTCTTCAAACTCTACCTCATCTACTGTCAGAAGAAAAGAAATGTCATTCTGTATAACTCTTCACTTTTACAAATTTTATTAGCTTCTTTATTTATTGGGAGAATTTGGTTATGGCTCACCATCAATCTGCATCTAACCTAAACACCTGTCTCCTTCCTACCTGCCTACTTCAAAACATGAAAAGGCATGGGTATTGTGACAACTGGGCTACTGAAAATCAGGCAATTATTTTAAGACATGATCATGCAATAATCACAATTGGAAGGCTAATCAGTTACTTCCAATTCACAAGAACATTTTAACAATGTTGTACATTAATGTTTTACAATTTAACCTTTATCCTACACATTGTTGAACAACAAAGATTTCCTGACATCAGCCCTGAAAACTTTAATTTACTAGTTTTAACCCATGACCACTAACATAGACTTCCCATTTAGAGTTTAACTAATACTTTTGGCTCTCTATCTCTTATTCTTAGATATTGCTGCAAGATAACTACTCACACATATCCATTGCGGTAGGGGTTTTGTCTATTTCCTCAAACGCAAAACAACTGACACTGACTACAAAGCTGGCAAATGCTTGAACATTTAGGACAAAATCTAGTTGGACAACACTGTGCAGTTTGACATAATCACTTCATACTTCTGCGGTTTTGGCAAAATACTTAACCAGGTATTAACTCATTGTTGTGACATTGCAATAGTTCAGTATGATCATCTTCATTTGATGCTACTTCAAATCCCTTTATAAGGAATGGATTTCACCTATTTTTCCCTTTTGGGTGCCTGCATTAAATTTCAACTGCACTGTTCATACTTGCATGCCTTATTCAACTTCCTCAAAATTCTGATCTGCAATTCCTTTTCATACCATTTGCAAGTTTAAAAACAATTTTACATTAAGCTTATGAATCCAGACCATTTATTAAGTTTTATCTATTCCCACCACATATGAACTGAAGGCAATCATGAATTTTGTCCATTCAAGCACTCATTGTTGCCAAGTTCCATCATGCACAAAGAAAATTACCTGACTAGGGTGATTGGTGAAAGCCAAGAATGCTTGTAAATATTTGTTGAAATTAGGAGGTTGGCCGACATCTTTGTCGCTTCCCTGAAAATAAAATTCAGTTCAATTTTAGACAAGCATACTAAACAAAAAAAAGACTCGTGGAAGTTAAATTCACCTTTCATTGTTATGGAGCGGTTGATTAAACAACATGGTCTTGCTGAGGACTCTCCAATAATGACTGAATGAAGCAAGTAGTACAAGCACAAGAAGTATTTTAGCTGTGTCAAAACTTTCTTGAGAGATGATTTTTATTTTGCCTTTACAAGCTTTAATCAACAGACTTTGAAACAAACAACGAAACCTTTTCACCTACCACAAAAACAAACCTACAAATTAGTCTGATGAATTTCTAAAATATTTAGCGTCTGAAACTAAAAAAAGTATTTATGTTGAGACACACACATCTCAGGAAGAATCAACACCAATTGTATTTTAATGTAAAATCAAGCCACTACCACAAGTTCAGAAAATCTGACAGTTCAATATGTATCCTCATTAGCTCTTGGTTGAACTGAAACCAGAGATAAGCACAGATTTGCATATCAATTATATTTATAGCCAATCTGAAATCAAATGAATGGAAAACATAATGCAACAAATCAAACCAAATACTAAACAGTACAAACATGGAACAGATTGGTCAGCATCTGTGGAGTTATTGCTACATTCCACCAATTTGTCTCAAACACATATCTTAGCGCAGCTAAACAAATACATTCTACTGTAAATAAAGTGGTAATTTAAAAAGAACCACTAAAAGTGGTTGCAATATGCTCAACTTACCCACAGCGCTGTCAGCTGTCCACCGAGTGCTGTAAGAACTTGACAAAGCCTCTTTAGAAACATGTAGTGTTGTTCCACAAGCCCTGCTCCATGAGCTGTTCTGTAATGAGAGGGAGCGAAAGAGAGAGGGAGCGAAAGAGAGAGGGAGCGAAAGAGAGAGGGAGCAATTGGTATCAGTCCTAATATATAACCATGAACCAGCAGTTCCCACGGCATTCCGTGGGATATAACATTACAATGTAGAATGTGAATAACAAGCTATCATGTCTGTAATGGATCTTTTAAATAACTGTTCAATTTAGTCCACAACTACAGACATTTTTCTTAAGGACTACTGATTATTTTGTGGTTTATTCCACCCTGCTTTTTAAAACAGGGAAGTTTCTATGCTTAAAGGTTATTATTTAACAAAACGCTTAGAAAGCATTAACAGGGCAGCTTGGTGGTTCAGTGGTTCGCACTGCTGCCTCACAGCGCCAGGGACCCAGGTTCAATTCCACCCTCAGGTGACTGTTTGCACATTCTCCGTGACTGTGGGGGCTTCCTTCGGGTGCTCCAGTTTCCTCCCACAGTCCAAAGATGTGCAGGTTACGTGGATTGGCCATGCTCAATTGCCCTGTAATGCCCAGGGATGTGTAGCTTAGCCATGATAAACACAGGGTTACGGGGATAGGGTTGTGGGGTGGGGTGGGTTGGGTTTGGGTGAGGGGGTGAGGTCAGTGCAGACTCGATGGGCCAAACGGCCAGCTTCCACACTATGGATTTTATGATTTCTATAGTTTCTACGACCACACAAATTCATGAGTTGATTAAACTGAAA